AATGAGATGATCTAGTACTAATTCTCCTCGACACCTTTTCCTCTGTACCACACAGGCACTGCTACTACTTTTCTCTTCTTTTAAACGATTTAGTAGCCCTCTGCTTACCAGCCCAGATGGAGCTCCTTACTTCTTTTTACCCCATAAACAGAAGCCAGCTTGAACCCCTGGGTGTCATTATACAAATCCTATTGCCCATCTCCTTATTCCCATCCCCCTCAATCCTACCCTCCCTCAATGCCCCACTCCAATCTATCTACCTCTTCCACTGTATCCTCTTGAATGCCTGTCCTACAATTAACAAACTTGCTTTCATCTAAAATCTTTCCCTTTCCCACTCTTTCCATCTTCTGGCACTCATTGATACCTGGTTCTCTCCTGTTAGCATTACATGCCTGGCCACCCTCTCCAGGGTTGGTTCTTTCACTCAGAGGTATGAGTCACAATACTCTATGCTCCTCATTGCCACCTCTCCTTTGAGGTTCATTCAATCCAAACGTATCCCCCATTCAAGATTCTGGTAACTGTTGTCCACCAACTCAATGAGTCAGTCCCTGGCTCAGTCTTTTGCTCCACCTTAGCCACTGCTTTCACACTAAGGGACTTCAATATCCATATTAATATTCCCTTAAACAACCTCTTACAAGTCCTTCAATTCCCACTTCACTTCAACAACACACAGAAATCATCATGCCCTTGATCTTCCAGAGGTGTGCTGGTAAATGTTTAACAACTGGCTCTTTAGGAGGGAAAAGTACATTTAATACACTTTTAAATTTAATCTGCATTATTTATATTTGTCCATCACTTTCTTAAGTCTAAACAATCAGCAAAACAATAAATCATGTCCTGATTTGTAGCATGTGCCAATTTCCAAGGGGAAAATGCTCAGACTGAAAATTTCAGCTCTTAGTAGGAGCTGGTTCCAACAAGTTCAGTCAGGCAACATTTTTTCTATGAGACTTTCAGGAGGTGAGTACAAATCTGCCCCAAAGAATAAGCCCCAGTGGAAGTATTTAGAATCTTTTCAAATTCCCATCATGATAGAATGGCTCACTCAAAAGAGAGAGGAAGCAAATATTGCCTTGAGAACACTAGAATGCCTTTCCTATGTAGCAGGGGCCATCGGGTGGAGCAGCCCTCCCTGGCTACAGTAAACCGTGTAGAAACTCTGGGGCCTGCTTCCAGACCTGAGGCCACCCACTTAGGAGCCTTTGGCATTTTGGTATAATGGGGCCAGCCCTGAGTGGTTTTTCGGCCCTTCTCCTGCTCCTTTGACAGCAGCCCAAAGATGGGCCTCTCTGTCAGTTATAAGAGGCAGCTTCCAGTCCAGGCTCTTGCTTTCTGTGTGGCTGGTAGCCTGCCTTGTCGCTAGACTCTCTCTGGAAGAGGGTCGAGGAAGGGGTAATATTCTTTTTTTCCACCCTGTGACCACTCTCACCTTCTTTCCAGTGGGAAATGAACTCAACTACATAAGTTGTCCTGGGCCCCTGGCTGTCTTTTCTACCTTGTGTTTCCTTGCCTGAGTATATGATCAAATATGATTTTGGGGATTGATATGTGTAGGCTTGGGGGCAGCTAGGTGGCACAATGGAAAGAGCACCAGGCCTGGACTTGAGTTCAAATCTGGCCTCAGACATTGGCTGCATGACTCTGGGCAAGTCACTTAACCAGTTTGATTCAGTTTCCTCATCTGTCAAATGAGCTGGAGAAGGAAATTGCAAAACACTCCAGTATCTTTCCAAGAAAACTTCAAATGGAGTCATGATGAATCGCACACAACTGAAAATGACTAAACAACCACAACAAAATGTGTAGGCTTGAAGATGACCTTGTGAGTTGAGAGGTTTCAATGTCCTGGGTCCAAGTGAGTTTGAACTGGCAAGTGGGAGGGGAAGCTTCTACACTGGAGAGGACTGCCCCTCACAAAAGCTGCTCTCTAGCCTCTATCTCTTTCTGGAACTAAAAATTGTACCCGTAAACCCTGGGCTCTGATTGATAAGCACTGCCCAGTCTCAAGCCACCATGACTTCCCAGACATCTCTGTGCCATACTGCTGCTTTCATTCGCCAACCCACCCAGCCCCCTTACCAACTCTAACTAGCACAGTAATCAGATCAAAACTACCATTCCTGGCCAGAATAGCTCAATCAATTGCTCTATTACTCCAATTGCAGTTCTCTCTGACCTCCCTCTCCAAAATACATCATCAATCCCTCTATATGTTGTCTTACTCTATTAAATTATAAGATCCTTAAGGGTAGGGACTATGTTGTTCATTTATGTTTGTATCCCCAGTGCTTAACACAATGCCTGGCAAATAATAAGTGCTTAAATAAATAGTTTTTATTCATTCGTTCAAGCTTGGCCATTTTTCCTACAGTCATGTACCGAGAGAAGTTAATTGAATCACCTTCACTAAAGTGAAATGTAAATACTTAATTAGAAGTCCCAAAATCCACTTTATATTCTGGTGAGGTTTAAATATCATTTTCCTATCAGTCAGTAACAGTTGTTGTAAATGAAATTACAGAATTCTGTTTGAAATTTATTCCTTTCAAATGTGTACTTGTGAGTGAGTGTCCTGTGTAACAGAGCCTAGCCCCCTGTCACTAAAGGACAGGCTCCCGAAGACTGAAGCCTGTCCAAACCATGTGCCTAGGTACAGTGCACAGTAACTCAGTCCTTGTAGGCCCAGCAGCAATTTCGTTTTTTAAAAATTTGTCATCAAATCAGTCATGGCAACCACAGTAATAGTAAGAGAAGCAAAAGAGTCAAAGCTTCCTTTGAGGGTTTTTCAGTCACTATGTGTTAACCAGTCTTGTTTTTTGTTGTTTCAGTTTACATTGAAAATTACCCACCAGACTCCCCATCAAAACCAGCAACAAAGGGGTCCATTTCTGAAAGCTATGACATATCTCTTAAGTGGTGGGAAAAGCAGAAAGGACGATCTCAGACTAGTCACACTTGAAGGTTTCAATTATGATTTATAAGAAATAGCTTTAAAGTTTGAGGTCAATAGCCTGTTAATGGTGAGCCCTGTAAGTTCATCATCAAACAGCTTAAAGAGTCATGGAAACGTCTGCTTGATATTCCAGCACATCACACCTCCCTATCCGTCAGGTATAAAAATTAAATTTATTTCTAAAAGACTAGAATGTAACTAATGTTTCCTCAAAAGCTGAAGCTAGTAATTCTTAGAAAAAAATTTTCCTCGATTTGGACAGAAGTGGCAAGATCTGGCTTCCTCTTTCAGTTAAACATTCCTTCCTTAGCACATGTATTCTTTTAAGAAAAAAAATTCCCTGAGATACTTAAGTTTTACAACAGTCTGAGAAATTTTTGAAGCCTTAGGAACATTAAACTCTTTTTAAAACACCAACTCAAAGAGCATCAAGAATCTATATGGTCCAAGGGTTCTTAATCTAAGATTTCATGAACTTGTTTTTGATACTTTGACAACAATATATCAATATAATTTGTTTCCTTAATAATGTATTTTATTTTACGCACTTAAAAATATTAGTATGCGTAAGATGTGATTTTGTGTAGGGGTTATCTAAATACAGTTTGCAGGGAGTTTTATACATAGATATAAATGTAAATGTAGATCTATAGATATGAAATCTTGCCCACTCCTCTCCAAGGGAGACTTTGATTCCTGCCTGGGGGAGGGGGGAGCAAGAGAATGGGTCATGAGGCTGGCCTTTCTCTTCTCCTCTGAGAGGGGAGATTGGAAAAGATGATCTATCTTCCCTTCCCCCAAATATTGCTGGTCTAAAGGCATGATTTAAAAAAAAAAAAGAAAGAAAGAAAAACCATCCAAGCCACTTTTTGGGTCATTATCCTTTTAAGAGACTAATGTTTCTAATTCACACTAATTTTATATCTACTGGCTTAATTCCTTCCTACCAAATATTAGTTACTTGAAAGACCATCAGTAATAGTGAAAAACTAGTAAACTCATTTATCCAAGTTGATAGAAAACAGAAATCAGAGATATTGTATAGATTAGACTACACCAGAAAAGATACAGAATGAACGAGCTGGATGGGTCAGCCAAGAGATGGGCCCCAATCTTGCCCAACAGGAAATTCCCCAAAATCTCCCTGGAGGAAATCAGGGACCTGTTGAGACATGGCCTCTTTTATACATCTGCCACTTTTCAAAGCCTTTTTTTACCTCCTGCTCTCCAAAATTGGTCCCAAACAGAGTCTGGAGCCATGTATATCCTTTCTTGAAGCAGACATGATGAACATCTCTCCTTTCCAAAGCTGCCCCAGTCATACAGCATTGAGTTATCCTTCTTTCCACCAACCAGAATCGTGCATAAGCAGCAATACACAATGTTAAAGAGGTCAATAACAAAAAGAAAAGGTTGAATACCCCTTGTCTAATTCATCTGTTCTTCCCCAACACCTCCAGACAAGAATACGGCTAACTCATTCTCCAGAAAGGGGAAGGCAACCAGGAGACCAGAAGGCATCAGCCTGGGGATGGGTAGGAATATTCTTCCACTCAAAACTGACAAATCAATTCATCTTTACATGTCTTAGAGATGGCTAATAAAAGATCTGGTTGATGATTGATAGTTCATATAGTTTTTCCAGACTAAATTTATTGGATCTCAAAATACCTTCTTTTCCCAATTAAAATCACACTCCTTGAAATATTAGCCAAGACACTTGGTATCTTTTTACTTTAAAAAAAAAATGAGTCACATCAGTAATACTAGTGAACAACTTCAGTAGTATTCTGACTCAAAGGGGGTCCTCTCCCTTGCCCCATCCCTAAGTCTATGTGTTATCCCCCATTACTGGTAAATTTATGCAAGGCTGGAGAAATATCATATGGCTGCTAAGATTGGTCATCTGTTATTGTCACTTGGTGGTCACACATGCTTCGTTTCCTAACACCAATTTTTGAGAGCGGAAAATGTAAGTGGGGGAAGAGATGTGAAAGAAAACCACATCCTCCTTTTATTTTTTCAGTATATATTAGAGAGCATCAGTGCTCCAAAAGACTCCCAAGAGTAGGTGGGTTCAAGCGAAAATGGACATGCCTTTGACTTCCTTTGTCTCTTTGCTCTCTGGTCTCATGTTCCTACTGCTGATTCCTAGAGGTAAGACTGTTTTTAACTGTTTCTGTTCCAGTCCTTAAATGTGCGGGAGGAGGCCTTGATATTGTTTCTGTCAGAAACAAAGGAGAAGTTATCATAGCTTGCAGAACTTTTACATTTTTAGCATTCTTTCTTGACAGCTAAAATGCATGCTTCTACTTTGGAAGGAAAGCTTTTTCATCATTCTATCTGGGGGAAAAAAAAGGTGCTAAAGCCCCTGGCATTATCTGCTCAGACAAGCAAGAGAAATACAAAGGGGCATCACAACCAGCTTTAAGCTTTAAATTTGCCAATAAGGATAATGTTGAAAACTAGTCAAGTCACAACCTCTAAGAGCCCTTGATAATGTTCTAAGACTACTAAGCTGTGGAGAAGATGGCTATTTGCACTGGTAAAGGGAGATCTCTATATCCATTCATTCATTAGTCCAGTCCCTGGCTCTTTGTTACATGGGCCATATCATTTATTTGGGGGATGGGGAGGTATAATTTATTAACTGTAAAACTCTCATAAATATTATCCAGTAGGCATGAAGAAATATATTGGAGAGTTGGCAATAGGCTTCTGATAGTCTCTGAAAATGAACAACCAAAGTTACAGGGTTAGTTACATATACTTGTAAAGAGAACTTTGTATACAGAGGTGTGCTGGTAAATGTTTGACAAAAAGTTTTCCAAAAAATAATAACAATAATGAAATGGACCCACAGCAAACTTTTAAATTTAGTCTGAATTTTTAACATTTTCTCCATTGCTTATTAAGTCTAAATAATCAACAAAAAACCCTAAATCAAACCTTGATTGATAGACTTTGCAGATTTCCAAGGTATACATTTTCACACTGAAAATTTAACAAACCGCCTTATCATTTGGTTCAAGTTGACTCTAGAATACCATGTATCATCTTCTCCATACTCATAGGCAAATATCTTCAAACAATTCCGGACTATCATGCAAAAATGATATTTTACAAAAGCAAGACTGTTTGTGTACATTCTATCCCCTCTCCTAGGAAGCGAAAGCTGTGGCCCCGTGCCATGACTAGAATAGAAAAATCCAAACCTAATCCCACGTCATTCTTAGTGTGACCACAACTGGAAGGACAAATCAGAAGGAACGTTACGATGGGAAGAGGAAGACGGCAGCTGCTAATAGCCCTCAGGAGTACAGGAATCTTTCACTTCCACTCTAAGGCTACTTAGAAAGTTGATAAAAATAGGAAGAGCCAAAACCTCTGGGGTAGTTTTTATTATGAGTTGGAATATTATAGTGCAATTACAGATGCTTTTTTCTTTTTTGGGGGGGGAGCACGCTAGGCAATGGGGTTAAGTGACTTGCCCAGGGTCACACAGCTAGTAAGTGTCAAGTGTCGGAGGCCAAATTTGAACTCAGGTCCTCCTGACTCCAGGACCAGTGCTCTATCTACTGCACCTCCTAGCTGCCCCAAGAGGTATTTTTCTTGAAAAGATCTAAGGAAGATCTCATCACAACAGCAATTGAGCTACAGGGGTGTAAGGAATCTTGAGGGGCTCTCTGGGCTTGACTGCTTTCAGCTGTGTTTTGTGCTCTCTTGGGGAATTCTTGTGGTTTGTGTTGTGCTGTGCAATGAGATTTTTGGGGTTTGAGACAAAGGATTTAAGTAAAGATTTCTCTAGGGCAGCTAGGCGGTACAGTGTATAGCGTGCCAGACCTAGAGTCAGGAAGACTCGTGTTCCTGAGTTCAAATCTAGCCTCAGACACTTCCTAGCTGTGTGACCCTGTGCAAGTCACTTAACCCTGTTTGCCTCAGTTTCCTCAACTATAAAATGAGCTGGAGAAGGAAATAGCAAACCACTCTAGTATCTTTGCCAAGAAAACCCCAAATTGGGGCAGCTAGGTGGCGCGGTGGATAGAACACCAGCCTTGAAGTCAGGAGGACCTGAGTTCAAATCTGGCCTCAGACCAAACACTTGACACTTACTAGCTGTGTGACCCTGGGCAAGTCATTTAACCCCAATTGCCTAAAAAAGGGGGAAAAAATAGAAGAAAAAAAAAAACAAAAGCCTAAATGGAGTCAGACACGACTGAAACAACTGAACAACAATGATTTCTCTGTACTACATAAATATATGCATGTAGAAAAGCAAGACTGTAGGCTCGTTAAGAGCAGGGATTGTTTCATTCTATGTATTCATAACCCTGGCACCTAGTACAATTCTAGGACGCAAATTTGTGTTCAATGATTAATACAATGGATAGAATACTGGACTGGGAGTCAAGAAACCCTGGGTTCATATCCCCCATCGGACATACTAGTTGTGCCATCCTGGGCAAGTCACTTAACCTTTGATTGCCTGACAAAATGGATTCACTGGATAAGGAAATGGCAAACCAGTGTCTTGGCCAAGAAAACCCCAAACGGAGTCACAAAGAGCTGGACATGACTGAAATGATTGAACGACAACAAAAATAAGAAATTACAAGATGCAAAACACTATCGCCAAAGGAAATCACACTACAGGTCAAAGACTTGGAGGTAAAGTTGTGACCAAAGGGCTGCTTGTGTCCGTTGCATTAAGGGACTTTGCCAGGACCTGAGGGTGGGCAGAAGTTCTGCTCCTCAAAACTAGCTCTAGGATCATAGTCTGGGATCCTCTAAAGGCCACAGCCCCACACAAACACCACTCATGCTCCCCAAACAACTACAGACTTGTTTGGGCCCCGTCTTATCCATCTGCCCTTTGGTTCTCCAGATATTACTAGGCCAGTGATTTGTTACAACTCCAACCTGAATCCTACTCCCCTCTACCATTCCCTCCCGCAAAGACTCTCAAAATCAACATGGTCTTTGTGAGTGACATGGAGGTGGGCCCACCCTCCCAGGTGGAAATGTTTAAAGGCAGCATATCCAAGAAGAGTGAAGAAACAGTTCTTTTCATACAGCCTCTCCAGAAAAGATTGGTGATGGAGACACAGCTTTTATTGGAATTACTTCTTTTTTTTTTTTGAACAGACTCCTGTGTAGATATAATTGGAGGTGATGAAGTATATCCTCATTCAAGACCCTACATGGCCTTAATCCTGGAGGGAAAAAAATTATGTGGAGGAGTTCTGATCAAAGAAAACTGGGTGATAACTGCAGCTCACTGTTCCATGTAAGTAAGCACTTTGCCTCCTTCAAAAAAATTTTAAATTAATTTCACTGAACTGCCCCAATTCTTCGTGCAGATTAATAGGGAAGTAAAACAATGGGATAGAAAGAGCAGAGACAGGCTTTGACTCACAGAAGGAAAAAATTACTAACAAGTAAGTGAACCCAGTGTTGAATATGTTGCTATCATAGCTCCTGTTAATAGGTTCAGAATGTGAATTGGGATTTTTGAGAAGATAGTATTATGTAAAATAAATGTGTGTCTTTAGAATGTTGCAATTTGTAAATCTGAATAATTGAGTGCTTTGTTTTGTTTTTGGTTTGGGGGAGGGTTGAAAGGAGAGGGTGAAGAGAGAGAGACTGGTTCTCCAAAGAAAATAAAGAATCCCAGGTTGAAAAAAAAAAACCTTTAGTATAAAATTTCTATTTTGGAGTTGTTTGAGTCCTACAACCTCATTACTTAACTTCCAGTCTGGTTTCACCCTAGCCCCTGATGTTTTCCATATACCTATCCATCGTATCTACTTGGTTTTTCTGGGGAAGTCCAAATCTGGGACCCTGAATTCCCCAATTAGACCTTTGCTGTCAGAAAACCCCGAACAATCTGTGAATGGGCAAGCCTGCCTCACCCAACGACAAAAAGGCCGGGGCCCAGGGTCCACATGGGAATATAACTCTCTCCTCAAAGCCCATTTGCTGAAGACTCCTCTGAGGGACACTGGCAACTCCAGTGCTCCATGCCTACAGGATGGGTGAAATTAGCAAGAGCTAGAGAGAAGAGAGATCCTGGTCTTCCACTTTTCAGTTTGAGAAAGAAGACACATGTTCCAGATTCTCTTCAAGTCCTTGAACATGATTGAGGTGCCGGACTCCTCTATGTGTCAGCTTCTTCTCAGGTTTTCTTCCCCTTCAGGGAACTGAAGAAGTCTAGAACTGGAAATCAGGAAATCAGGCTCCCTCTCCTCCCAAGCTCTTATCAATCCTCCCTATCCTCTTCCCTATCCTCCACGAAGGCATAGAGCATTGAAGTAATTGATCTCCAACAAAGAGGAGTCTTATTCAAATGGGTTTTGAAGCTAGGGCTACACAGTCTCTGCAAAATGTGAGGTCAGCTGAAGCAGATGAACTATTTCACAACCATCAGTAAGAAGCAGAGAATGCTACAAAGCTCAACAGCAGGATAGCCATTTATTCCTTTCTCTTAGGGCAGCTAGGTGACACAGTGGTTAAAGACCTGGGGTCAAGAGGACCTGAGTTTGAGTCCAGCCTCAGATACTTACTGTCACCCTGGGCAAGTCATTTAACCCTGTTTGCCTCAGTTTCCTCATCCATAAAATGAGCTGTAAAAGGAAATGGCAAACCTCTCCTTAAAAATAGTTCCTATTTTACAGAGTGCTGAAGGTTTGCAAAGCACCTTACAGGTGTTATCTCACTTGATTCTCACAAAAATCCTGTGAAGTAGGTGCTATCATTACCCCCATTTTACAGACGAGGAAACAGACAGAGAAGTTAAGTGACTTGCCAGGTTCACATAGATAAGTAAGTGTCAGAATTTACTCCTTTTTCTGATTCACAGTCCAGCAGCTACCCACTGTACCACTTACCTGACTCTCCTTGTAAAGAGTGTTGTTTAGTTGTGTCTGACTCTTCATGACCCCATTTGGGGTTTTCTTGGCAAAGATACTGGAGTGGTTTGCCATTTCCTTCTCCAGCTCATTTGACAGATGAGGAAACTGAGGCAAACAGTGTTAAATGACTTGCCCAGGGTCACACAGCTAGTAAGTGTCTGAGGCTGGGGTTGAACTCGGGAAGATGTCTTCCTGACTCCAGGCTGGCATTCTATCTGCTTTGCCACCTACCACTCCTCATATATTGTATTAGTACTAAGTAGATATATACTACTATTACTACTACTACTACTAAGAAGACAAACTTGTATGCCAATACTTTACTCAATTACCAAAAAAAAAAATTCTTTTAGTCACTTGTGCAATAGTCCAGAGAACATTAATTAAATATTGCTTATCTTAGGACCATTTCTATCTGAATTTTATCCCCCCCCAAAAAAAAAGAGGAAAATGAGATGAATAACCATAATGCCTTAGATATATAAAGCATTTTAGAGTTTTCCCTTTATTTTCACATCCCTTTCACATCTACAACAAATAGGGCATTTCAGCAATATACATCTCTACACACAGTTGACATAGCTAGATCAGCAACATGACATAGGCAGCAACTAATTGGAATTACCTGATACTAACAGCATCATATCTGATTCAGAAAAAGAACAACCAATGTCATTCTTGGAGCTCACTCAAAAAGCAAGAAAGAGGCAGAAAAACAGATAATGACTGTTAAGAAAGAGATTCCCTACCCATGCTATGACCAAACCACACATGAAGGTGATCTTAAACTTCTTCAGGTATGCAATTTCCAATTTGTTCTTCTTTTACACATAGAACTGCTATGAATTAGTCAACACATCAGTTGTTGGCCTTATAACTGTAGGGAGTTAATCAAAGATGTTTCCTGATCAGCATGATGAATTTATAAGATGATGTGCTTTTGGGAAGAATTTTGAAATATCTCCTGATTCAAGGAATCCCCCAGGGGTCTTTGGATAGATTTCACAGGGTCTGCACTTGGATGGGGAAAATATGGATCTTTACTTCTATATAATTAGTTTTCTTTGCAATCTTATGCATTTTATTTTGTGCATTGAAATACATGAAACAGAAAAGGGGTCCATAAGCTTTACCAGGCTGCGAAAGAGATCCATGACACACACAAAAAAGGTTAAGAACCCCTGCTATAAAGTACCTGTAGATGCTGTGTTGAGAGGAAAAAAGACTCTCTTATTTGTGTCTCAGTGACTGGGGCTGTCCCCAAGATGAACTGGTTGGTTAGGAGCTACCCTTTAGTATCTCCAGGTCCACAGATTTCATGAACTGGGGCTGCCCCAAGATGAACTGATTGACCCCCAGGGTTAAGGTTTCAGAAGCTCCACCACATTAGAGGGGAGATAATATACGAGTCTGCAAAAAGGAGCTTTCATCTAGAACTTGGGCCCTTTTCCTTTTTCTACTAGAGACAGCTTACTAAAGGCAGTATGTGTTGGGGGTGAGGAAAGTGAGGAGGAGGGAGAGTCTCTCTTAAGGGGCATAAGAATCACTGCCTTGGGGCAAAAGCATATATCATAAGCAGACATGCCCACAGACATAGCTAGGTGGCCAGTGGATAGAATGCTGGGCCTGGAGTCAGGAAGACCTGAGTTCAAATATGGCCTCAGACACTAGCTGTATGACCCTGAGCAAGTCACTTAACCTGAGTCTGTTTTAGTTTCCTCCTCTGAAAAATGGAGATAATAATAGGCCCCACTTACCAGGATTGTTTTGAGGATCCAATGAAATAATATTCGTAAGTATTTAGCACAGTGCCTGGCACATATTGCACATTTAATAAATGCTTATTTTTCCTTCCTTCCAGTGGGGAGGAAAGGTAACTAAAAGATTTCCTTGATAAATTCCCTAGATATCAGAGGGTCTCATATTTAAAGCCAGAAGAGACCCTGGAGATTCATAAATTCACAGTTGGGAAGGACCTTGGAAGTCCAATTCCCTTATTTTGTAGACGAGGAGGTGGTCACTCAGAGGTTATGTGACACGTAGCTTACAAGTGTCAGAGGTGGGACTGGAACCCAGATCTTCTTGACTTCAGACCCAGAGCCCTACCTATCTACTGTACCATGCCCCCTCATACTGCATTTTCATTAGTTTCATAGATTTTCATTAAAGCCAACGGATCTACTAACTCCATAAGCTGCCTTAGAGGGTTTTTTTGTATTTTTTTATAGGACAATTTTTATTTCACCCCTGTCAGAATTCAAAGGATTGGCTCAGATTCTTAGGATCTGGCCCACTTGCATTAGTGATACAAATGCTTAGATTTCTTAAGAGCCTGGCCAATTGGTGGATTCTTTAAATTTCACTCACCCTCCCCTCCATTGATGTTTTAATAAACCTTGTCTTTGGCTGAAAGAAGGCTTGGGATGAATTTATTCGGACAGGACCCAAGTGTCATGATTTTGGGGTACCAGCACCCCTAAACCTTTAAACCTCAACATTTTGGTGGCCTGTACAGGTAAGCTGCCTAACCCCAAGCTCTTCTCCAGCCAAGACTGGAAGGTATGTAAGCCCCCTTTCCTCTTACTTGCCCCGCAGTTGGGGCTGCTCTCCAAGCACCTAGAAAGGCTTGGAGATGCTTTTTGGGCAGACAGCTACGAGGCTGTCTTGAACTCAGCCTCATGCTCTCAGGCTCTCAATCCACTGGTTCAGTTTGAGGCCAAGGACCCGGGTACACCTTCCGCAGCATAGATGACAAGGATGGACACCCTATCCAGAAGCATATGCCCAATTCTCTTCGTGCTAGGGAATTGGGAAAACTGCAGATACTTTTTGGTTCCCTGAGGCTTACTTACTTCTTTCACTCCACACCCCTGGATCCTCCTTCAAGGAGGCTACAGGGAAAAGCTAGAACAAATGAAAACATCTTAACAGATTCTGGAGGCTTTGTGATCAATCATAAAGGAATTTTGAAACACTTCCTTACAACCCTGCTCCCTCCCTTCTCCCACTCCCTTTCCTTGAGTCAAGAGGGTATCTTTGTTAACCCCTCTCATAGGAGAAGAGAGTTTCACCCTTCCCCCCTCACCTTCAAATTTGCCCTCCCTCACCTGGCAAAAGGAAGGAGAGGGGAGGGCAGCAGCTACAGCATGGGACCCACTAGCAATGGCCTTGGGCCCTGGGGCAACCTTTGCCAAAAAGCATCACCCTGGTTTGGCACAGCCTGCTCACCCCCACCTCAACCCCCAGCAGCTGTGGGGAGAAAGGGAAGGGGGATAGTTAAGGTAAAGAAGATAGCCTTCAAACTTGGGTCAGCCCGCTCTTTTAAAGTTGTAGTTTTAACTGTTAATGATGAGATGCTGACTCTCTGTGTAAAGTAATTTGGAAATACATTTAACAAAACTAAAGTCACCTGATTGACAATAGGTTTGTTTCAAGTTTAGCTTGTCTAGGCTCCATTCTCCCTTGGCCACGTGGTCCAGGTCCCTGGTGTTCTGTTACCTCACAATCACCTCAGCTTACTGATCACTGTCATCCAGATCCTTCTTAGACCCTTCCTCAAGTCACCCCAGACTACTTGGCTATGCCTAGATCCCTCCCACAGTCTTTCTGTGTATAAGGTCCATCTGGCCTCCACTAAGGTGCTCAGATTCTTAAGATCTGGCACACTTGCATTAGTACAAATGCTTAGATTATTTAAGAGTCTGGCCAATATGGCACATCTTTAATAAACCTTACCTTTGGCTGGAAAAAAAAAACCAAAGGATTTCCTGGAGCCCATTACAATTAAATTGCTCCTCTCACTTTCTATCCCTAGAACCCATACCAACCTCTAGTCTTATAGTACTACCCTAAGGGTGTGAACTTGGTGAATACACCATCAGAACCCTTGACCTTTGGAAGCTACAATCAGGTAGGCAAACGCCAAGTTTTGCTCCCCCCACTTTAGGACTCAAGCCTCTCCCATTCTCCCAGCCCCAGGCTTCATGTACTTGATCCTTGGTCCTAGGATTCCTAATATTATTCCAGAAGTCTGATGTTTGAGAACACTTTCCACTCTCTTCCCCCCCGCCCAATATTGGCCAGGTTGCTCCTCTCTCTTTGACTGCCATCTCTCAGACCAAAGGCTTCTACCATTGCTTCTTCCCATGGCTGCCATATCTGGGGTGGAAGGGGATACTTTGGGTTTGGGGGTGGGGGACGGAAGGATGTGAAAAGGAGGGTTTCACATACACACACACACACATAAATGCATTCTTGGGTTTCTGGTCTTTGATGTGTGCTCAGTTCTGTCTGGATCTCTCCAATTTGAATCTATTTTATTGGCAACAAAGATGTGCATTATTTTACTATCCTGTCCTCATAATATAATTGTTTACATTTGTTATCCAATAGCTGAATGGAAAAGTGAAGATTACAAAGGCTGTAAGACTACTGAAACTGCCCCAAAGTGGAAAAGACATCAAACCGGGTACTGCTTGCCAAGTTGCAGGATGGGGAAAAACAGTCAACAGATCCAATAAGCCTTCAGACACTCTGAGAGAAGTCAACGTCACTGTTATCGACAGAAAAATCTGCAATGATGAAGATCATTACAATCTTAAACCTTTTATTGGCCCAAACATGATTTGTGCTGGAGATATAAATGGCGGGAAAGACTCGTGTGATGTAAGTAAAAGAACAAGTTGGAGTTAGTAGTTACTTTGTTAGGTAAACAGAGTCAGGGATAGAATGAATGGTTCGCCTTTCTAAATGAAGGAGATTATTGTGGGTGAGGAAACAGATGAAGGGAAATTAATGTGAGTGCCCCACCACTGGAGACAGCTGTGGTCCAGATTGTGAAATAGATGGAGCTGGTCAGTGCCATGCAGCTTCCTTTTCTCAGTCCCCAGCCATATCCTTTAACATTCTATTCCTCACATGTCCAAGTCACCTTGACAGGACAGAACCTCACTCCCTATTCCCCAACACCTCTTCAACTCTCTCTGCCAACTCATCAAAACATACATCCTCTGTCCTGTCATCCCCTGTCCTAAAGATCAGAGAGGGTGTGAGATGCCCATAGTCATACAGATAGCTAACATCAGAGGCCAGGTTTTAACCCAGCTCTTCCCATTATGCCATGCTGCCTCCTTAACCCTTAATGAATAAAAGCCATTGCTGTGAATTTTCAGCACCATGACAAGCCTACAAAGGAGATGGGTTTGATCAGACCTCTTAGATTAGCCCATATTAGCAGTTTCCCTACTCCACCTTCTCAAATGGCTTGCTAGCCCTGTTTAACTATGCCAGATGGTTTGTATAAACGATAACTTACTTCTGTAGGAGTGCTACAGGATAGAGGATCCTGCCCATCGACCACCAGATTTCTCTGCAGGTAGTCATATTTTGGCTCCCATTCTGACTGATAATAATATCTAGCATTTACATACAGCCTACTATGTGACAGGTGCTATAATAATAAATATATATATATATATCTTTTTATATGCATATATATATATATATATATATAACTTCTACTATATACCAGAGTGCTTTATAAATATTATCTCATTTGATCGTCACAACAACCCTAGAAGGTAGGTGTTATCATCCCCATTTTACAGCTGAGAAAACTGAGGCAAGCAGAGGTTAAGTGACATGGGCACAGTCATATAGGTAACATCAGAATTAAGATTTGAATTGAGGCCCTCTGACTCTAGCGCACATCTTAGTATGTCACTGGTTGCTAAGAATTTTCTAATCCAAATGAAATCTAAGAAAAGATATCTTTTCTGAGATTTTTGTTAGGCCATTATTGGGTTTTGGGTTGGGCTCCTGGTCTGGCATGGCTTAGATTTTGGACTTGGGCTCTTTTTGTTTTTGTTTGGTTTTTGGTAGGGGGATAATCCATAAAGAGGGGTAGTGAGGTGGCACATTAGATAGAGTTCTAGGCTTGGATCTGAGTTTAAATCCAGCTTTAGACACTAGTTGTGAGACCCTGGGCAAGTCACTTAACCCTGTTTGCCTCAGTTTCTTCATCTGTAAAATGAACTGACAAAGGAAATGGCAAACCACTCCAGGATCTTTACCAACAGTCACGAGGTCAGACTCGACTGAAATGACTGAATAATCCATAAAGAACTTAAACCACCAAGACATCTTTTCTTGGACTTCAGTCTAAATGTCTCAAATATATTTGACTAATTTGTTCTTTGGTGTTAAAGCATTGCTTTTAATTAAATTACTAAATTCACCATGTCCAGAACTTTTTCAAAAAGAAAAGATTTTGATTAATTTCAGACGATGAGAAAAAAAAACACACAAAAAGATTTAGCTGATGCTGCTAGGATTTTAGCTCGTACTTTCACTGATTCTGAAAGAAACTGAATGATAAAATTTAGGATTTTTCAAATATTACCTAACATAATTGTATTTATTAAGCATTAACTCTCACTTGACCTAAGTATAAACCAAAGACAATTCATTTTTTAAAAATCTTTTAAACCTTTTTCCTATTTTAATTAACATTTAATGTTGATTTCCCTCCCACCACATGTCTCCTTTTTTTTTTTCCAGGGGGATTCTGGTGGCCCTTTGATATGCCAAGGCAGTTTTACAGGAATCACTTCGTTTGGTCTTCCTGGAAAATGCGGGGTTCCCCAAGGACCTGGTGTCTACACTCTTCTCTCAGTGAAATACCTCAACTGGATAAAGAATACCATCAAGAGAGTGGCTTAGCCCACTTTGACTCAGTCCCGATGATTCCTTAATGCTATAATCAACAATCAGGACCTAAGAGAAAATCAATTTTTTTCCTGAAGCATAAGTAAATGTAAGCCAAGTTTCCACTGGCAAAGTGAAGCTAAAAATTGAGAGTAATTTAGGTAATTCAAATTAAAAAAACGCAGATGTTAATGAAAAGTGGAATTTTGCCTGATTTATTCAGATAACTGCCTTAATAACCTGACCGATCTGCCCCTCCTATGTGAGAAATACAGCAGATGTGGATGGCTCCAAGATCCTGTCTGGACAGCATTAGAAAAACTCATGTTTCCTTAGGTACAAACTCACAAAGCGTCTTCTTCACAACCCTATGAGGAAGGTAGTATTTGCTAACACAGGACAATTTAGGGTATCGTTTAAACTAAAAGACTGGTTGTTCACGTGAAATCTGTCGAACTATTTATATTCGCTTTACCAAAGCTGTATCTATACCCCAACCCCAAATTCAGCATCCTGATTCATCCTAGCTTTTCTAGACAAAGGTTAGAAGGAATAAGCATTTACATAGTACCTAACCTGCTGAGCCTCCCTCAGGTTTCTGGATGCAGACTAAGAGCATGACCAGCACCAGAGCAAGAGAGCTGAATGAAGGCTCTACCCAAGAATGTGATGATAATAACTTGTTCTCCAGGGAGGAAAAATGTATGCAAGACACACTTTCAAATTTAACCTACATTATTAACATTGTATTCACCACTTTCTTACGACTAGTCAATCAGCAAAACACCAAATCAAGCCCTAAGTAGTAGTTTGCAGATTTCATAGCTTTCATGAGCTGGCTCCAGCATACCACTGGCTATGTTCTTAATGAATGTACTTTCCCTCCTCTGAATATCCTTCCTTTGCTATGGTTACCTAAGTAAACCTCCTTTTGCCAGCTGTTAGAAGGACTGCAAGAGTCTCGTTCCATTCCAGTTTTGACCATGAGATACTTATTAACCTGGCCGATTACATTTTATTTTATAAAAATTCAAAATTTACAACTGATATGTAAGCCATTTTATCTCTGTTACATGGTATATTCTTCCTGTTCATGTCATATTATACTTCAAATTTCATAAACATTTAACTACAACAAAAATTTCTTTTTTTTTTTACAAATCACCTAGACTTTGATTCAATTCAATAATGTTTTCTTAGATGTCTATACAAGTAAATCTATCTATCTAAAGTATCTTGTACTTTTTCCAGTACAAGATAATGGGAAAACAGTGACAAAAATGAAATAGTCCTTACCCTCAACAATTTCATATTCTGCTGGAAAGATAAAATATGAACACAAATAATACAGAAACAAAACTGAGGAGGGAGAGAGCAGTACTAATTGGGGATTAGGAACTGTTTCACAGAAGAGATTGACCTGAGCCTTGGAAAGAGAAAGGGTGGAGATGATGAGAGGGTTAGAATGAAGGCAAGGATGTGAGATGGAATCCTAAGTTTGGGAAATCACTAGCGTCCCAGTTGGGCTTAAAGAGACTATGGCAAGGGGGATAGAATGAAGTAAGGCTGTGAAAATTAGGTGGGAGCCAGACTATGGAGAGCCTTAAAATGCTAAGTTGAGGAGGTTGTATGGTTTATCCTAGAGGCAGTACAGAGCCACTGAAGTTTTTAAGGAAGGGAGTAATCAGATCAAATCTTTGCCTAAGAAAGATTTGGATGTTGGGAGTGGGTTACATCTTATGGAGTCTGGACTGGAATGAGAGAGCTCAGAAGAAAAAGACTTAATTGGAGGGTCAGAGGGTATTGTAGGAGTGTAGGGTAGTAGTCTTTAAAGTGAGGTGCACAAGCCCCAAAGATGTGCAAGATGATCCATTTAGTTGTGGAGGAAGAAATTAGAACGTCTAGCTACATTATTATATATTAAAATGTATGCCTAAAATAAAACATTACTTACACAGAAATACTACTTACTTATAAAATTAGAATTAAGCTGTGTAAATATTTAATAGCTAGATAAGCACATACACTAACTTGGTATATATGTCATATGCCTTCTGCTTCCTAAGGGAAGAGCAAGACCTCCAGATTACGGAAGGGTTGAAGTGGTACCCTCCCTTGTTTTCCGCTATTGGCTCATTGCAACATATTGCAGTCTATGTGTACCAGGTTAAGTGAATTCAGGGACTATATTATCCAGCTTTAACTAATTCTCACAGAATGAACAAGGAGCTTTGTAAAATTCCTGCAAAGAAACCACAGGGTAAAGATGAAATACTTTTGAAAGCACAATCGAACTATAAAATAACAGACATTTCTACTCCTGGGAGGAATTTTCTATCAGCCATATTCTATGGATACAAAGACAATGTTTATCTAATCAGATCTGCCAAAAAAGTTAACAAAGAAAATACAAAATTATCAAGAATATTATTTTGAATACAGATTTACATCTACTATCATTAATGATGGCCCTTACCTTCACTACATTTTGCCCTGAGATATTAGTCATCACAATTAGGAAGAATTTTAAAAACTAAACTTTGGTCGTCAAAAAAGATGTGTCACCTATAAAAACTTGCATAATTACACACTTAAATTTGGAAACAGAACTTTCTAGCCTGCATCCAAATCAAATGAAGACTTTCATTGGATTTTGAAATTACTTTATTAAAAAAAAAAATAAGTAACACCATCTAATTAGTTTGCAAGAACCACTTATTAACATAAAAAAGATAGAAATTTGCTAGAAAATTTTCAACAAAAACTTTTGCCTAATTGGTGAACTGGAACTGAAAGATAAACATTCAGAATTAGAAAATACATCTACTGATGTACTTCTTTCATTTGGATCCATACAATTTTTCCAAGATATCTTTTTCGGCTATGACAACCACAAAACCACGAATGAAAACAAACTGAACTTAGAAACAGACCTTCAAATCATTTGGTTTAACAAAGCGTTAAGGCAAGATTTTAAAAAACATGGAAGCATATTCAATCACATCCCATTAAAATATCATTATTAATAATTTGTGAAAAATTAGCTTATTAGAGCAAATGCTATTAGTAACACTTTAAAATTGTTTTTAATATTATTTCATCTTCATCTCATATTTTTGCATTCTTATTTTTGGCCATGTGAACATAAAGTGTCCCAAAACTCTTAGGGCAGTTTCACATTCTAATAGCTGACATTATACGTATTTAATTAATTATTTAAGTGAGTGAAAATAAAAGGGCAAATGCTCAAAAGATTTGGGTTTTGGGCTTTGTCTTTGTGATTGTTATTTTTTTGCTGATGGGGTATGGGATCAAAAAACTTTATAGATCATTGTTCTAGGGGAGAGAGGGGTCTAAATGAGGGTGGTGGCCATGTAAATGGAGGAAAATGGAAGTAACAATATTGGGCAACTGATTGGATGTGTAGGATGGCAGAGAAGGAAAAGTCATTGATGACTCAGCAGTCACAAATCTAGGTAAGTGAGAGAATAGTAGTACATGCAACAGAAACAGAGAAGTGTGGAGGAGGGGCAAGTATAATGAAAGAAGGAAATGAGCTTCATTTTGGGCAGCATTGAGTTTGAGGTGCTCATAAGAGATGTAGAAGGGTTTAAGAGTGTGTGAGGACAGCTTCAAGGACATTATTAGGGCTGGATTTATAGATCTGGGAGTCATTGATGAAGACATTATTTTTTCCTTTGCCCCAGGCTTTACACACATACACACACACACACACACACACACACACACACACACACACACACACACACACACACATGCTCATCAGCAGATGAGTGTGTTCATACTTTTGTAAGTACAAATCCTTGGTTACAAGTTATTGGTTCCAAGTTACATGTGTCATGTGAGAAAAGTAAAAAATAATGCTCTCAGTATAACTACACTATGTCATGTGATTTCTAAAAAGCTTGTAAACCATGTAGAGTCATGAGAAAGTGGTTTTGGGGATGATAGATTCACTCCAGCTTCTATAATGCTCTCAGTTCAATGATCATTCACATTCTTACTTCATCCATCTGAGATGCAGTCAACCAACTACCATTTATTAAACACCTACTAAGTTCCAGGCATAGTAGTAGGAGCCGGGGACTCAATGACAATGAATGCAACAATCCCCATTCTCAAGGATCTTATAATCTAACGGGAGAGACAACAGGTACATATTATAAGTATATGTAGAAAAGAAATATAAAAGGAATAAATACAAATAAATAGTGTCATTAAATAACAATGTAGTTTTGGAGGAAGGATATTGGCAACTGGGTAGATCAGGGAATGCTCCTTGTAAAAGGTAGTGCTTAAGCTGCATCCTGCAGAAAGAAGAGGATGCTAGTAGAAGGAAGTGGAGATGAGGAGGGAGTGTAATCCAGGGATGAGTGACAGCCAGTGAAAAGGCACAGAGCCAGGAGATGGGGCATTGTGTGTGGGCCATGGTGCTAGATTACAAAATGTGTAATTCTAGAGATATTAGAGAGGGCCAGTTTTTGAAGAGCTTTAAATGCCCAACAAAGGTATTTGTAGTGTTTCATAAAGATGATAGGGATTAGATGGTAGGGATAATTTAGGGTGGGGGGTTAGTAAAGCATGAGTCATGACAGACAAGGGAACAAGAGATTTGAGAGTGAAACATAGAACTAAGTCACTAAGAGGTTGAGACTGGGAAGGAAGAACAGAGTTAGAGCAGGGGCAATAGCATAGGAAAGTACTTTTAGGATAGATGGATTGGCAATCCATCCACTGTGAATACAAAGAATAAGGTTTGGAAGGTAAAAATGAAATAATAGGGAGTTATGATCAGATAAAGAAGTTGCAGAATTCTTAATTATGAAAGTGGTATTAGGTGGTACCATGGATAGAAAGCCAGGCCTGAATTCAGGAGGACTTGAGTTCAAATCCAGCTTCAGACGCTAATTAGAAGTGTGACCCTGGGCAAGTCACTTAACCCTATTAGCATCAGTTTCCTCATCTGTAGCATGAGCTGGAGAATGAAATGGCAAACTGCTCCAGTATCTTTGCCAAGAAAACCCCAAATGGAGTCACCAAGAGTCAGACATGACTGAACAATAACAAGGTAACAGATTCACTGTGGGAAGTGACAGAGGAGTCAAAAATGACACCAAAATTTCCAGTTTTGGCAACTAGCCACATGATGATACCATGGACAGAAATGAGAAGGCTGGAATCCAGAGACGATTTTAGTTTTAGACGTGTTACATTTGAGATAACTATGGGGCACCAAATGCTGGACAAAAAAACGCTTGGTACATAAAAAGAAAAGCTGGGTGGGCTTGGGTGAGAAGTAAGGCCTAGCAACAGCAGAGGTGATCCCTGGAGCCACGAGAACGGAAATCCCTGCACATCTCACCACTCTGCTCAAAAGCTCATGGAGCTCATTCTGCCAGTGTAAACCACGTGAAGGACAGTGGTATAGGAGAACTATAGGGACAAAAGGAGTCTGCAACCCATACAAACACTCATTAATTATGGAAGCAATGTACTCAACTTCTTTAAGGGCCTGTAAAATGGGAATAATACTTGTAGAACCAGCCTCACAAGACAGTTAGATTAGATGAGCCAATATGAATATTACATGAATATTGGACTTCCTTCCAAGGTCTGTGATTTCCTCATTGTGGAGACACCCTTCATCCATGCTGATCTCAATGTTTTATGTCTTACCAGATATTATTCATGTGTTGTTGTGACTTAAAAAAAATCATTTGGTAACCAATCTCAATATGAATATTAAATAAGCCAATATTTTTCACAATATGAATAGATGAATGAATGAATGAGAAAAGGGTTTGATTGAGTTTTCTGTGCCCATGTCTATGCTAACTGTTGGGAACACGAATATAAAAGCGAGACATCCCCCCCCCAACCCCCAGGTGTTTACCATATATGGAGCAGAGGAGAGAATGACTCCCAGGAAGGAAATCTGGAGAGACACAGGAGTGGTGAGTGGAGCCATAGAGCAGTTGATTGACATGCCTACCCAGAAGCAATGGGAGTGTTGATTTGATTACTGTGTCTAGAGAAGGAAGTAGAAAGTGAAAGCCTGGGGGAAAAATGGTCATTCAGTGAAATAGAGGACTTTCAAGCATTCCTGATGAAAAGACCAGAGCTGAATAGAAAATTTGACTTTCAAAAACAGGACTCAGGTGGAACATGAAGAGGTAAACAGGAAAGAGAAATCATAAGAGACTTATTAAGATTGAACTGTTTACATTCTTGCATGGAAAGATGATATTTATAACTCATGAGACCTTTGTCAGTATCAGGGTAGTTGGAGGAAAAAAATTATATGTATGTATATGTAGATAGATAGATAGAGGGCACAGGGTGAGTTGAAGATTAAGGGGTCATATCTGGAGAATAAAATTAAGGGATGAGAGAGGATTATATTTGGAGAAGAAGAAAGGGAGAGGTAGAATGGGGTAAATTATCTCACAAAAAAAAAAACAACAGAAAAGTCTCTTACAGTAGAAGGGGAAACAGGGGAAGGTGACAGGGAACGAGTGAATCTTATTCTCATAGGATTTGGCTTAAGGAGGGAATAACATACACATTCAAGTGGGTATGGAAATCTGTCTTACCCTACAGGAAAATAGGGGGGAAAGGGGACAAGAGAGCAGGGGGATGATAGAGAGGAGGGCAGATTGGGAAAGGGGTTAATCAGAAGTAAATGCCTCTGAGGAGAGACAGGATCAAAAGAAAGAATAGAATAAATGGGAGGGCAGGATAGGATTAAGGGAAATAGAGTTAGTTTTTCACAACATGTTTACTATGGACATGTTTTGCATAACTGCACATGTACAACTTATATTGAGTTGCTTGCCTTTTCAATGAGGGTGGGTGGGGAGGGAGGAAGAGAGAGAATTTGAAACCTAAAGTTTTAAAAACATATGTTTAAAAAAAATGTTTTCACATGCTACCGGGAAATAAGAAATACAGGAAATGGGGTACAGAAGTCTATCCTGCCCTACAGGAAAATAGAAGGGGAAAGGGATAAAGAAGGGGGAGAGAAGAAAAGGACAGACTAGGGGAAGGGATATTCATAATGCATGCCATCTTGGGGGGGGGGATGAGAAGGGGTGAAAATTTGGAACTCAAAAACTTGTGGAAATGAATGTTGAAAACTACAAATAAATAAATTTATATTAAAATTAAAAAAAAAAAGAAAGTGAAAGCCTGGGTGGACAGCTGAATGTGGATGTGAAGAATGATCTGGTCTGAGACCAGCTAATATGTGGGCTATGGGGAGCTTTTACTCCCTCACACACCAATCAGTACAGCTCAATTCCAGGTCAGAAGTTCTAAATCCAAATGGTACTAAAGATATCATTTCTAGTATAGATGTGGAGAAATACGGCCACAGCAGGCAAATGGCAAGATGTCAGCTATTGTGATTATAACTGAAGAAGTGTAGAGAGGAAAAAACAGGGCTGAGGACCGAACATGAAGGGATCAAGAGCATTCAGGGGACAAGGAGAAGAAGAAGATACAAAGACTGAGAGATTTGGGAGAGATCTGCTTATAATGGACAAAAGCACTGGTGGGCTACGTATGGGGTAGCATCCAAAGTTAATCATCTGACTTTCTGAAAATGTGCTCCTAGCAAATAGGTTCTCCTAAAAGCCTCTCGGGCAGCTAGCCCCCAGGGCAGTTTGGGACTCGCTCTTTGGGGTGAGAGCTGCCAGCAGGCCACGTGACAAGGGACTCAGCTGCAGAAGGTGACTGAAGTGGCTACATCGTTTGTAGGGGCATGGTACAGTTTTCAAGTGGTTTCGAAAAGAAGAGAAAAACAACCTGTGGAAATGTTTGGGTATCTAAGGAAGTGGGTGATGGGCTTTCCTTCACATGTCTTTTCTGTCTGGAGGAGTGAGAGGAAACTGGGGTACCAGTAAAGGCAACTCATCTGGAACATAAAGTATGCTCCCAGGCCGGGCTGTTGCTGTTCCTCTGAATCCAACAGAACTGAGGCCTATCTGCCCCAGGGCTATAACAGAGCTCCCGAGGCAGGGACTCCATCAACCCCTGTCTCCTTTGACCAGATTAACAGCATCTCCAGACATAGGCTGTTCCATCAGCTGCAACCGAAAAAACCTTGCTCTGATCCGGACTCAAGGCCAGGTGCAAGACTCTGCATCTGTGGCCTGTAGAAGAAAAGATACAAATTCATGTTGTAAATACCAGGGGTTAAAAATAATATTTAAAAGCAAGTTGGTACATGAGCTAATCATCCAGTTATATTAATCTTGACCCAAGATACAATGCACATTAATGGCCTCATCCCTAACCCAGACCTCAACCTCTGACTGAGCCTTTGCCCAAACTCTGCTAAAATGCATGGAACTAGGACTAGTAATGGGTAAAATTAAGAGGTAAGTGAAGTATGTGCCCCTCAGCACCCTTCCCTGGGGCCTCCCCCAGATACCCCATTGTCTTTAGGCCTTATGCCCTCCCTGAGATTATCATTGCCATCATTATCAATGTTTTCCATTCCCATAGAAATTCATCTTTTCTGTATCACATTTCCTCAGGATCCAATACTATTCATTAATTAATTAATTGATTGATTACTCTAATAGATGACTCTTGATTACAGAAGATGAAAGAATTCTACCAGAAAATACCTGCATTGTAACTGGTTTCTCTTAAGCAATGCCCCTATTCTTTCTTGTTTAACCCATTAATGGCTAACAGGTGAGAATTTCTAACCAGGTAGAAAGGGAAGGTGGTACTGTAGAAGGCTCATGGGAAAAGGGAGGTCAGCTAAGGAAACTGAAGCCGTGTGGTAGCAGCAATATCTACCAGGGTCCCAGCCATGTAGGCTAGGCTAACTTTTCCTAAAATCTCTCTAAACTTCATTGGTCCAGGGGTCAAAGGCTTCCTGGTGGTCCAAGTGCAAAAAGCTATCATCCAAGAAGTCAGAAGCCATTCCCTTGACACCGACGTACCTCCATGACAAACACAGCAGCGGGAAAGCTGTGCCCAAGTGAATCAAAGCTATACCCTTATCGAGCAGCCTTTCCTTGAAAGGCTGAGTGAATTTCCTTTCGATAATTGCTCATCCATGAGTACCTCATTTCATCCCAATCATAAACCTGAACCAGCACCACACCGGTCTGATTCAAGACTGGGCAGAGAAGAGCAATGATGTAGATAAAGTCACATGGCTGGTAAGTGGCATAGCTAACACTAGAATCAAGGCCTGCTGACTCCTAGGGCAGTGCAGTCTCTGTGATGATACCTTTAATCAGAGATGGAGGAGCCTAGGTGGTGCCATCATGCATAGAGCGCTAGGGCTAGAATCAGGAAGACCTCAGTTCAAATGCAGCCTTAAACACTTATTAGCTATGTGACTCTGGGCAAGTCACTTAATCTCTACCTACTTCAATTCCTTGACTGTAAAATGAGAATAATAATAGCACCTATTTCTCAGACTTATTGTGAAGATCAAATGAAATAACCTGGAGGCAGCTAGGTGGCACAGTGGATAGAGCACCTGCCCTGAAGTCAGAAGGACCTGAGTTCAAATCCAGCCTCAGACCAAACACTTGACACTTACTAGCTGTGTGACCCTGGGCAAGTCACTTAACCCTAACTGCCTTAAAAAAATGCACTAAAAATTAAGATTGAATCTTAAATTGGGGGCAGCTAGGTGGCACAGAGGGTAGAGCACCGGCCCTGAAGTCAGGAGGACCTGAGTTCAAATCCAGCCACAGACCAAACACTGGACACTTCCTAGTTGTGTGACCCTGGGCAAGTCACTTAACCCCAATTGCCTAAAAAAAAAAAAGAAAAAAAAAAGAAATAGCTTGTAAAGCACTAAGCACAGGTCCTGGCATATAGTAGGTGTTTAATAAATACTTGTTTCCTTCCCCCCCCACTTTGTTTTTAAGAGACACTGCATCCTAGGAGGGTCAAGCAAGAGTCAGATCTGACCAAAAGAAGATTCGCTACACCTCTTTTAGAGCTCAGTAATAAAACAATCTTTAAGAATTGGTTTTTGGTTTCTTCTTTGTGGCTAATTTTAACTGTGAGGTGGATCTCTTTCAACTGAAGCTCCTCAGTCTTGTGGTTACAAATATGAATATTCTATTCCTTTGAAATAAAAAAAAAATAGCATTGCTAACAGCAGTTGAGAAAAGATATGCTAGCATTGCAAAGAGCCTAACTGCAGCCAGCTGCTGTGGCAGGGTGTGGGTGCTGCTCTTGAGCCCATGCAGAAGTGCCCAGACATCATTCTTGGTGCCACACTGGAAACCCATGGAAATTAAATATGTACGCACCCATGAGCAGTGCAACAGTCTCAGAGAATTCAAAGTGTGCATCACCCATGAGGCAATGGAGAGTCACATGGTGGGCACGAGCAGACCGCAACACATTAAAAATGAAGCTTGGAGAGTATATTATAAGATAAATGTATGAACAATAAAGAAGGTAGCCTGGCAAGATGGGTGGGATAACCAACCGACGGACAGCCTGTGTGCACCGCGGGTTTCCTCCCATCAGAACTTAAGGGAGATCCCCAGGCAAACTGGTGAAGGCCCCCAGGGGTGAATTAACATATTGGGAGATGGAGAGAAGAGCATTACAGGATGGGCAGGCGTGGATGAGCTCCTTCTGCTTCACTGTAGGGAATACCTACATCCTGCAATGTGTAATTTTTAAGTGTAAATGTTTAAGAACCAGCTTTGAGGAGGGAGAAGGAGGGTGTAAAGGACACACTTTTAAGGCTGATCTGCATTATTAATATTTTTTCTATCACTTTCTTAAATCTAAGCAATCGACAAAACAGAAGATCAAGCCCAATACGTAGTATGTGCCAATTTCTGAGGCGTAAATGATCACACTGAAAATTTAACAATCGGCTCTGCTAGTTTGCTTCAAGGCAGCGCACTCCTGCCTATGAAATCAGAGATCCACATGACAGTCCGAGCTGGTGGTCCCATATTTGGAGGATCACAGGACTAAGGTTCTGTGTGTCTAACACAACTGCCGTTATTAAGGTTTCTGTAAAGAGAGTGATTTTTGGAATAAGACATGTGTTGACATTCTCTGGAGTGCCACTTCATGCTGGAAGAACAAATATAATTACTAAATTCTATGAATACTAATTCAGCAGATCATGGGATCTTAGCTTTAGAACTTTGCAAATGAGGAAACAGAGGGCCAGAGAAGTGAAAGGACATGCCTAAAGTTACACAGCTAATAAATGTCGGCAGCAGAATTTGAACCCAGGTCTTCCTGACTTTAAATCCAGCACCTTATCCATTATACTACACTGCCTTGAGAGATAACATCAGAGAATCTTAAAAAAAAAAAAAAAGATGCCATAGATCTTTTACAAATTTGCTTATTTTTAGTGAACAATTATAAAGCACCAGGGCACTAGGTGGTGCAGTGGATAGAGCTCCAATCTTGGAGTCAAGAGGACCTGAGTTAAAATCTGACCTCAGACACTTGACACTTACTAGCTGTGTGACCCTGGGCAAGTCACTTAACCCCATTGCCTAGCCAAAAAGCTACATATATGTGTGTGTGTGTGTGTGTGTGTGTATGTGTGTGTGTGTGTGTATGTGTGTGTGTGTGTGTATATACATATATATATATATATATATATATATATATATATATATATATATATATAGCACCTACTCTGTGCCCACATACACATATAATGTTGATGATGTCTATTCATAGATCATAGATTCCAAGCTGAAAGGGATCTTAAGGATTATCTAGTCTCATTCCCTCATGAAGCAGATAAGGAAAATAAAGGTCTGAGAGACAAAGATCACAGTGTAGTCAGGGTAGAACTGGGCTTCAAGCCCTGGGTTTCTGACTCCAGATGTGCTCCGGCCATCACACCAGGCTGCCTCCCTAGGCAAGCCTTGTTTCACAGACCAGTCATCCATTGGCCTCCCCAGCTCCAAAGGGCCCTCTCAGTGTGGGGCTGCACTTCCCATTCTTCCGATTAGGACTAGGAACCTCCTCTATGGTGTTCTGATTGCAATTGTCAATAAATAAGAAGCAATCTTCCCTCAGAGGGTACAACCTGAGCAAACAGGAAGCATGAGGGTTTTGAGTGACCACATCACATCTAGCATCGATGAATCAAAGTTTCACACCTAGAAATTTAGCCCTGTCATGGTGTCTCATCTCCCACCCTTCCAGGTAGCGTTTTTTGCATTTGATGTGAGGTGAGGTGGGTTGCGACACAAGGTCCTAAGGGGGCTCAGAATTGGAGTTCAGTTGCCTAATGTTGTCACTATATCCCCCATAACTAGATGCCAAGAGAAGGAGGCCCAAAGATTTGAAACGACAACCAACCAACCTCAGTCAAATTCCAGTAAGTTATTCCCTCTCCACTCCATTTTTCATGCCAATTAAAGAAGAGTAATTGGTTTCCCCTCATTCCCCTTCTCATCCCTCACCATTGCTTTTCAGTTTCTTTTTATCTATTGTCTTCCCCAAATAAATTCTAAGTTCTTTGAGGGCAGGAACTATCTTTCTTTGTATTTGTATCTCCAGAGCTTAGCACATAGTAGGGTACATCTAGCACATAATAGGGGCTTAATAAAAATTTACTGACTGTAGGACCACATATTTGATTCACCCACTTACTTACCAAAAAATCCACCAGATTGGGTCAGGAGGGGATAGTTCCATAGAGTCACTTCATTTTTAGGAATACCAAGGCCAGTTGCAATCTCTTTTGTCTTAGGTAACCAGATCAGGGAACAAATCTGTTGAAGATTCAAAAAAATTATAGAATTGTGACCATTTTTGTTTCAGTCATAAACACAGTCTGAAATACAGTCTGAATAACAGTCTCAAAAGGGTAGTTTTTCTATAGGGAAGAAAGTCTATTCTGGTTCTACTCATCCAAACCACTGTAGAACAAGGATGCCACCCATACCCTTGAGTATGGTGTAAGAGGCATTGAGCTGGAATTGGCCTTTTGTCTTATTTCCCTGGCAAAGTGATGGTGAGAAGTGAGGAGTAGGTGAATGAAAAGAGGCAAGTTAAATAATGAAAATAGCATTACTAGATGAAAGAGCTATACAGGAAAGAAGTTTTGGCAAATTGACACTTTTGCATAATCAGCAAGTAAGGAAAGGTATGATTTGGACCCTTCACTTCGCCACAAAATGTTATTTAAAATACTGGAAGAACCAAAATGAATGCAGAAGTTCAAATCTGTTTCATGAGTTTACCTGTGATTTTGTACATGGAGTCTGGATGCTGTTCTCAGTGTCCATATCCCAGACATGTAAATGTCCATCATTCATGCCTCCTCCAACAGCAAGGATTTCAGATTGCCAAGGACACCAGTTCATAGCCTTTAAGTGTAGATAAGTTTTCATTTTGTAAGTTCAATACTTTGCACAGTCAATAAAGAAATCCTTCCCCTCTAGTAGAAGTGAGGACCCCATGAAATGGTATATGCATCAATTAGGTCAGTAGATCAGTGCTAATTAGGCGACTGTCTGAAGATCAATCTCTATTCAAGCTAATTATTAATCAACCAACAAGTACTGAGCAATTACTATGTTCTAGACATTATGCTATGCAAAGGATAGTTAAAGAAAAGCAAAAAAAAAAAAAGTCCCTGCCCTCAAGGAGCTTATGTATACAGTATAAATGGTGGGGGTAATCTAGAAGTGGGGAGAACATCACATACTGACCCCCACACACACACCCCAACTGCACAGCAGTTCTTCCGTCACTCTCTGACTCCATGACAAATTCCCCACAGCCTCTATTCCTAACTTCTCTCCTCCAGCCCCATCACCCTTTCTCATCACAATCTTGTCTGCTACTTTTCTGAGAAGCCCAAAGCCATCCATCATGAGCTTCAGACCTCTTCCCTCCTTCTACTCCTCCGAATCTACTTCTTCATCCTTCCTTTCTTCCTTCCCTTTGGCTTCAAAGAATAAGGTGGTCTGCCTCCTTGCCAAAGCTAATGCCACTAGACTTAGATGATTCTGGAGGTCTGAGGCTGATGACTCTGCACAACTCTGTCTCACTTAAATCCAACTCACTTGCAAGTCAAGACATCACCCTCCTGACGTCATTGGTCTCCTTCAGGAACAAAGGATGAACAAACACAGTCCTATTACACCCTGGATCCCAGACCCTTTCATATCCACTTGTACCTTACTCCATCAATTATTCTCTCTGGTCTTCAATCTCTCCCTCTCTCCTGGATCCTTCTCTGCTTTCCATAAACATGTTCAAGTCTTCCCTCTCCTAAAACAAACAAAACACCCTCAAGGCTAGCCCTGCTTCACTGCTAATAGTCCAGAAAGAGCAGTCTATGATTCTTGCTGCTGCTTTCTCACCTTTCGCTTATTACTGAGCCCCAACCACTCCACTCTCTCTAATGCCATGTTTCTAATCTTTCTTCGAGAGGCAGCATGACACACAGTGTGTAGAGAGCCAGTCCTGGAGCCAGGAAGACTTAGGTGCATAGGACCCCAGATTTACAGCTAACAGAGACCCCAGACCTCCTGACTTCACAGTTGAGGAAGGCTTAAAGAGGTTATGGGACTTGTTCATGGTCATACAGTGGTAAATTTCAAAAGCAGAATTTGAACCCAGAACTTTCTGACTCAGACGACCCTCTATCTATCATGTCACACTGCCTCTTCAAGTCCAGCCTCTGCAAGACACTGGCTGGGTGACCCCAGGTGTGTCATTTAATTTTTCCGTGCCCCAGACAATTCTCTAAAACCATAAGTTGAAGAAGTAGGTGCTGAGCTTTACTGGTCGAGGGGGTTCATCATCAAGAATTTCTAATATCAAGGAAATCCCAGATCCAGTCCAAAAATATTTTTCCTTGACCTTTCTGCATTTGATACTGTTGACCACCTCCTCCTTTGCTTTTATGCTCTCCTTCCTGGTTTCCAAGACACTTACCTTCTCGGTTCTCCTCACACTTATATAACCACTCCTAACCACTGGGCAGGCTTTGTGGACTCATGGTCCTCCTCCCACCCCCTAAGTGTAGTGTCCACCAAGGCTCTGTCCTCATGCCTCCTCACTCCTCTCCTTAAGAAACTCATGTACTACCATGGCTCCATTGATTACTTCTATATAAACAACTACAAAATCTGTACGTCAAACTCTTTTCTCTTACCTGAGCAGCAGCCCTCTATCTCCAACTATCTGGCAGACATCTCCACTTAAACGTCCAGCCAGCATCTCAAATTAAACCACTTCAAAAAAGAACTCCCCATCTTCTCCTCCTTCCAAACCCAGCCCTTCTCCGAATTTCTCTATCTCTGCTGATGGCACTGCCATAGTTCTAGTCAAGCAGGCTCAAAACCTTGGTCATTTTTCACTCCTTCTCTCTCACCTCCCAAATCCAATCAGCTACCGCTGTGAAAGCCATGTCCACAATTTCTCCTCCATCTGTCCTCTCTCTTCTCTACGTATACTCCAAACATCTTAATCTCAAGCCTATATCATTTCTTGCCTCAGTTATTGTAATAACCTTTTAAATAGGCTCTCTGCCTCCAGTGTCTTCAGTCACCAAATTATCCTTCTTCACACAGCTGACAAAAATAATCTTCCTAACGTAACCTTTCATCAGCGTCAATATGGAGTTGAGAAATGAAAGATGCATTCCCAGAATCCCACCAGCACTGAAATTGTAAGCCAGGGATTTCTGTGCCTTTCACAGAGATTTCTGGGAGAAAGATGCCAGAAGAGAGGCATTGTTCTCTCAGAAATCTCTGTGAAAGGCACAGAAATCCCTATCTTACATCTTGCCATCAGGTAGATTTTATCATAAGAAAAAACAAAACAACACTACTTAGCTGGTCTCCTGATTTTTGCCCCCCTGATATTTCACACAAAGAGTGAGAGGAAGCCGTAACTATTGCACCTGCCACTGCAATTAACAATGGAGTTGCTGCTGGGCCCAGAGAGATTGTGTGAGTGGTGATGACAGATGTGGTGATGACAGGACTAGGTTTGGTGAGATGACTCCAAATCCGTTTTAGAGATTAAAACTCTCTGCCATGACTCTGAGTAAGAAAAGAAAGCAGCAAGAGTGAAGTACTCCATTCCTGCGGAGTTTTCTCGATTCTTCCTGAGAAGAAAGAATTAAAAGGGAAAACGGACTCTTGCAACAGATTAGCAATGCCCAGCACTTGCTGTGTTTATGTACAGAGTGTCTCTTTCATCCTCACACTCCCTGTTCTTTCTTTGTTACTATTTATTTCCACTGTTACATAAAGGAAATAGTGGCTACTGAATTGGTTTTGTATTGAATATTAATGATTAATATTTTATGTTATATCCTTTTATTTGTAGATTACATGCGGAGACTACCTCTCCATAGATATTTCCTTAGACAGAAGAGATTTTAGCTCCTTACATGTGAGGGGCATTCCATCCCCATTGCCTTAAGTTAATACAGAGCTGTAATCATATCAGCCTGGTCACATGAACCATGTTGAGGAACTTTCAACTCCCTATGATCTTTAAGATATAATACAATCTCTTTAGCATGGAACTTAAGGCCCTCAACAATCTGTCTCCAAGTTTATTTTATATCTCTTTCCCACATTTGCTATATTCCAGCTAAGCTGGGTTTCTATCTAGTCGCCGTCTCATCCTGAATTCTCCTGTTTCCACATTCATGTAAACCACCCTAGTCATCGCTACTTGTTTAAATACTTTTATCTCTTCAAAACCTATGCCAGGAGGTACCTCCTCAATATCTGCCTAGTCAAAAGTTTTCTCTTCCTTCCTATAAACATGCCGGTGCTCTGCCCAAAAGAATATAAATTTTGATCAATGAAACCTTGCAAGATATCTTGGGGTTTATTGGCTAGATTTCTTTCTTAAGGACCATGCCTTAAACCCAAATCACTCTGGCTATCATTGATTGGCCAATAATAGGTCCCAGCCCAAGCCTCAGGTGGTCATTGTTTGGGCCCTGAAGGCTCAGAGTAAATAGCAATTGTTTGTGCTTGGGCCAGAAACCCTGACTTTTTTTTTTTTGACTAGGTGCAAGAGGCCATTCTTTGCCTCATTTCTTACCTAGCCTTAATTACTGAATGGGCACTGCCTCAGTCAAACTGAGACCTGTGAAAGACTTTAGCTTAAAAAGGCCAAGGTCCCCCACTGCATCTGGGGCCACGTCCAGTCATCCTGATCTATGCCTTGCCACTGGACCCAGATGGCTCTGAAGGAAAGAGTGAGGCTGTTGACTTTACACAGCCCTCCTTAACTTCAATTCAATTCACTTGCAAGTCATGGCATCCCCTCCCTGATGTTCCTCTTGTAGAACGACAACTACAACCCATGGCCAGGTGTGGCCCAACACTCCTCAGTGCTACAATACTGCCCAGTGATGTGAACCCGACTAAAATGAAATAGAGAAGTAAACAAAATAAACAGAAATGGAATAAAGCACACTTATGTTAATATTTGGTTTTCTAACTCAATATTCACCCAGACGGATCCTTATACATGGTTAACTGCTCTCTCCCCTTCCTGCCCCACCATTTCTCTTTGAGTTTGAAACCACTGTCTTTCCCCTATCACATGCTTAAAGTATTATACTTTGGAGGAATATGGCGTAGTATAAGGGAAAAAATTCTGGACCTGAAGTGAAGAGAGATGGGGGGGGGGGGTTCAAATCTTACTTTTGCCACTTATTGGCTGTATGACCTTGGGCAAGTCATGTGACTGCCCTGAGCTTACACTTCCTCATTAGGTCTAATAATACCTGTAGCACTGACCTCACAGGACTATTGGGAGAAGCAAATGAGTTAATGTATGTAAAACACTTTGCAAATCTTGAATTGCTGTGTAAATGTAAACTATTATTATTTAGAATGGGGAGGGGGTAGTAAGACTAAGGGGGGGGGCTGTTTGTTTTCTCTTTTTTTGTCATCTATTCTGGGACCCTCAGTGACTAATACATTATAAGTACTTAATAAACACTAATCAAATTGTATTTGTTGAAGTTGTTGTTTAGTCCTTTTTCAGTTGTGTCTGACGCTTTATGACCTCTTTGGGGGGTTTTCTTGGCAAAGATACTGGAGTGATTTGCCATTTCCTTCTGCAGCTCATTTTGCAAATCAGAAAACTGAAGCAACCAGGGTTGCTTACCCAGGGTCACACAGCTAGTAAGTGTCTGAAGCCAGATTCAAACTCACAAAGATGAGTCTTCCTGACTCCAGGCCTGGCACTCTATCCACTACACCATCTAGATACTCCAATTTGTTGAACTGAATACTCTTTAACCAAAAAGAGCTTTTGACTTTCTTACCTTAACTGCTGTAGAATGATGTAGGACTTTTAGTGGTTGACAGAATTTGGCACCAGGATCATAGGGCCATATATTCAATAGCCCATCAATACAACCACTGGAAAGCAGCTTACCACTCGGTGACCACTTCAGGGCACATATAGCTCTCTTATGTCGAAGTGTCCCAATGTGATGCTGAGCTATTCGAACATCGTAATGATGAATATGGCCCAGTCTTGAACCACTGTATGGGAAAAAAAGAAGCATGGTTGACCATCGCCTCCCAGGTTATATTCAACTACATAAACTGTACAAGAATTCTGAGCCCATCAAGAAAATACAAGGGGACTTCCATGAATCAGTGATAAAATTATCCAAAGATCCCTAGAATGATCTTTAGCAAAAATAGATGCTATTGACTCCTTGTAGCAGCAAAAAACAGTCAGGGAATGGCTAGAAAAGTATGGTATTTGAATATATTCAAAGGTTTTTAATTTATTCATTTTTCTAATATTTTTAGTTCTGTTCCCAATTCAGTGATTTGTTCTTTCTCTCTTTTTTTTTTTGTTGTTAATAAAAGTTCACCCTAAGAACTACTTTGGCTATATCCCCAAAATTTTGAAACATTTTTTTCATCATTGTCATTATCTTTAATGAAATTTTCTATTGCTTCTATGATTTCTTCATTGAGCCAATAATTCTTTAGGATTGTTATTTAGGATTTGTTATTTAGTCTCTCATTAATTTTTAATACTTTTAAGAGGATGCATATAATATTTCTGCTTTTCTGCATTTGTGAGATTTTTGTGTCCTAAGACACGATCAACTTTTGTAAAGATGCCATGCACAGCTGAGAAATATGAATACTCTTTGGTAGGAATGTATACATGTAGCCTGTATTGGATTGCGTGCTGTCTTGGGGGGCAGGGGGAGGGAGGGGGAAAGAAGTTTGGGACTTGGGGGCTTATGGAGGTGATTGTTGATGAATCAAAATGGATTAATAAAGTAAAAAAAAAAAGAAATATGAATACTCCTGTTTCCATTCAATAATTGCTAAGGGTCAATCACATCTAATTTTTCCAAAATTCTATTCATGTCATTAACTTTCTTCTTGTTCATTTTCTTTAGATTTATCTAGGGCTGATATGAGTAAATTGTGACATCTTATGATAGTCTTATTGTCAGGAGCATATGTGTAAAGAATTAAAATAAATTCATAGTGTAATAAAGAATATAATTAAATATTATTGTGCTTCAAAAAATGATGACTATGGGAAGATTTGTATGAATTAATGTGAGCAAAATAGAAACTAGAGAACAATATACACAGTGAGTAAAATAATATAAATTTTAAAAACTCACTAAAAGGAACTCTGAGTTGAACTCTGAGTAACAGAAAAAAATGAAGATCCCAAAGAAAAGATAACGAAGCATACCTTCTCCCTCTTGGCAGAGAGGTAAGGGGCTACTAGGACAAAATTTTGCGAACATTTTCAAATACAGAATCTATAACAGATGCCCTTGTAAAAAGGAAGGGTTCAATCTAGAAGAACAATAGGAAATGAACGTCATATAAAGGTAATAGACATTAATAAAACATCATTTAAAAAAAAATAATATCCAGGATGGACAACCTGCAGCCTCAAAGCCACATGGCCTTCAAGGCCCTTGGGTGCGGCCTTTTGCCTAAGTCCAAGTTTTATGCAACAAATCCTTTTACTAAGGGGATTTGTTCTCTGAAGGTTGGATTCAGTAAAAGGGCTGCACTTGAGGACCTAGATGGCCACATGTGTTCTCAAGGACACAGGTTCCTACCCCTGTTAAATAGATGCTATTGGTCACTTCTGACTCATTTAGAAATCCTTTGAATAACTAAGAATGAAACTTCTGCCTGAAATTTCCTTTTCAGAGATAAATTGATTTATGTGACAGACCTAAAATTTTTAGATTAAGGAACAGGACAATGTTCCATAAAACTTATTTTAATACAAAAGTAATGGAAATCATAGCAAGGATCATATGATCTCCAAGAGGATCATCAACTAGTGTGTATGGGAGAAAAGTCCTGCTAAAGAAGTTTTTATTTGGAAAGAGTTTTACATTTAAACAATATAGTCCTTAATACTGAGCCCACAGGTTTCAAGAGGAACATTTGCAGAAAGCACTTGAGGTAATCAGTTATACCATTTCTACGCGTGAATATCTGAAGATACAAAAATACAATGATTGACTCATTGATCTTTTTTATTTCTTTTTAATAATTTTATTAATTTATTTTGATTTATCAACAATCACTTCCATATGCTTTTGAGATGAAAGTTTTTCTCCCCCTTTTTCCCCCACATCCTCCCCAAGACGGCGCACAATCTGATATAGGCTTTACATTTTCATTCCCATTAAACATATTTTCACCATAGTGAAGTTGTAAGTAAAAATTAAAACCAATAAGAGGAACCATCAGAGAGAGGAAACAAAACTCAACAGAAGGTAAAAATAAGTGATAGCGATTCGACTTCCATAGTTCTTTCTTTGGATGTGGACAGCATTTTCCATCCTGAGGCCTCTGGAGATGTCCTAGAACCTTGTAATGCTGAGAAGGGTTCAGTTTAACAATATTAGTCATTGCACAAAATGGCCATTATTGTGTACAAAGTCCTCTTGGTTCTGCTCACTTCATTCAGCATCAGATCATATAAGTCTTTCCAGGCTTTTCTGAAGTCAGCCTGTTCATCATTTCTTATAGCACAATGGTATTCCATTACATTCATATACCACAACTTGCTCAGCCATTCCCCAATTGATGGGCATCCTCTCAATTTCCAATTCTTTGCCACCACAAAAAGAGCTGCTATGAATATTTTTGTACATGTGGGTCCTTTTCCCATTTGTTTGATCTCTTTGGGATATAGCCCTAGAAGTGCTATTGCTGGATCAAAGGGTATGCACATTTTTGTAGCCCTTTGGGCATAGTTCCAAACTGTTCTCCAAAATGGTTGGATCATTTCACAACTCCACCAACAATGGATTAGTGTTCCAATTTTCCCACATCTTCTCCAACATTTATCATTTTCCTGTTTTGTCATGTTGGCCAGTCTGATAGGTGTGATGTGGTACCTCAGAGTTGTTTTGATTTGCATTTCTCTAATCAATAACGATTTAGAGCATTTTTTCATATGACTATAGATGGCTTTAATTTCTTCATCTGAGAACTGTCTGTTCATATCCTTTGACCATTTATCAACTGGGGAATGGCTTGTGTTCTTATAAATTTGTCTTAATTCTCTATATATTTTAGAAATGAGGCCTTTATCAGAGAGACTGGTTGTAAAAATTCTTTTCCAATTTTCTACCTTCCTTCTAATCTTAGTTGCATTGGCTTTGTTTGTGCAAAAACTTTTCAATTTAATGTAATCAAAATTATCCATTTTGCTTCTCCTGTTTGGTCATGAATTCTTCTGTTCTCCATAGATCTGATAGGTAAACTATTCCTTGTTCTCCCAGTTTACTTGTGGTATCAGCCTTTATATCTAAGTCACGAACCCATTTTGACTTTATTTTGGTATATGGTGTGAGATTTGGGTCTATGCCTAGTTTCTGCCATACTCTTTTCCAGTTTTCCCAGCAGTTTTTTTCAAAGAGTGGGTTCTTATCCCAGAAGCTGGGGTCTTTGGGTTTATCAAATAATAGATTACTATAGTCATTGACTACTGTGTCTTGCATATTTAACCTATTCCACTGATCCACCTCCCTATTTCTTAGCCAGTACCAAGCAGTTTTGATGATTGCTGCTTTATAATAGAATTTAAGATCTGGAATTGCTAGGCCACCTTCCCCTGCATTTCTTTTCATTAGTTCCTTTGATATTCTGGACCTTTTGTTTTTCCAAATGAATCTTGTTATTATTTTTCTAACTCTATAAAATAATTTTTTGGTAGTTTGATTGGTATGGCACTGAATAAGTAAATTAGCTTAGGTAGGATTGTCATTTTTATTATATTAGCTCGGCCTACCCATGAGCAACTGATGTTTTTCCAATTATTTAGATCTGATTTTATTTGTGTGAAAAGTGTTTTGTAATTGTGTTCATAGAGTTCCTGGGTTTGTTTCGGAGGTAGACTCCTAAATATTTTATAATGTCTACAGTAAGTTTAAATGGGATTTCTCTTTCTATCTCTTGCTGTTGGGCTTTGTTGGTAATATATAGAAATGCTGATGATTTATGTGGGTTTATTTTATAGCCTGCAACTTTGCTAAAGTTGTTTATTATTTCAAGTAGTTTTTTACTTGATTCTCTAGGATTCTCTAAGTATATCATCATGTCATCTGCAAAGAGTGATAGCTTTGTTTTTCTTTGCCTATTCTAATGCCTTCAATTTCTTTTTCTTCTCTTATTGCTAAAGCTAAGGTTTCCAGTACAATATTGAATAAGTGGTGATAATGGACATCCTTGTTTCACCCCCGATCTTATTGGAAATGCTTCTAGCCTGTCCCCATTACATATAATGCTTGCTGAAGGTTTTAGATATATGCTATTTATTATTTTAAGGAAGACTCCATTTATACCTATGCTTTCTAGTGTTTTTAATAGGAATGGGTGTTGTATTTTATCAAAAGCTTTTTCTGCATCTATTGAGATGATCATGTGGTTTCTGTCGGTTTTGTTGTTGATATGCTCAATGATACTGATAGTTTTCCTAATATTGAACCAACCCTGCATTCCTGGTATAAATTCTACCTGGTCATACAGCATTTTCTTGTGATAAGTTGCTGCAATCTATTTGTTAGTATTTTGTTTAAAATTTTTGCATCTATTTTCATTAGAGAAATTGGTCTATAATTTTCTTTCTCTATTTTGACTCTTCCTGGTTTAGGTATCAACACCATATTTGTATCATAAAAAGAATTTGGTAAGACTCCTTCACCTATTTTCCAAAAGAGTCTATATAGTATTGGAATTAATTGTTCTTTAAATGTTTGATAGAATTCATGTAAATCCATCTGGCCCTGGAGATTTTTTCCTAGGGAGTTCATCAATGGCTTGTTCAATTTCTTTTTCTGATGGGGTTATTTAAGTATTTTACTTCCTTTCGTTAATCTGGGCAATTTATATTTTTGTAAATATGTATCCATTTCACTAAGATTGTCAAATTTGTTGGCATATAGTTGGGCAAAATAATTCCTAATTATTGTTTTAATTTCCTCTTCCTTGGTGGTAGCTTCCCTTTTCATTCTTGATACTAGTAATTTGGTTTTTCTTCTTTTTTTTAATTAAATTAACCAAAGGTTTATCTATTTTATTGTTTTTTCATAAAACCAGCTCTTAGTTTTATTTATTAGTTCAATAGTTTTCTTAATTTCAATTTTATTAATTTTTCCTTTGGTTTTCAATATTTCTAATTTTGTTTAGTTGAGGATTTTTAATTTGTTCTTTTTCTAGTTTTTTTAGTTGTATGCCCAATTCATTAATCTCCTCTTTTTCTATTTTATTTATGTAAGCATTTAGAGATATAAAGCTTCCCCCATTATTGTCATTCTCTTGAATGAAATTGTTGATTGTTTCTATGATTTGTTGTTTGACCCAACCATTTTTTAGGATTAGATTATTTAGTTTCCAATTATTTTTAGTCTATCTTTCCATGGCCCTTTATTACATATAATTTTTATTGCATCATGATCTGAAAAGGATGCATTTAATATTTCTGCCTTTCTGCATTGGATTGTGAGGTTTTTATGCCCTAGTACATGGTCAATTTTTGTGTATGTGCCATGTACTGCGAGAAAAAGTATATTCCTTTCTATCCCCATTCAGTTTTCTCCAGAGGTCTATCATACCTAACTTTTCTAATGTTCTATTCACCTCCTTAACTTCTTTCTTGTTTATTTTGTGGTTAGATTTATCTAGTGCAGAGAGGGGGAGGTTCAGGTCCCCACTAGTATAGTTTTGCTGTCTATTTCTTCCTGTAACTCCCTGAACTTCTCTAAGAATTTGGATGCTATACCATTTGGTGCATATATATTTAGTAATGATATTACTTCATTGTCTATGGTGCCTTTTAGCAGGATGTAGTTTCCTTCCTTATCTCTTTTGATTAGATCTATTTTTGCTTTTGCTTTGTCTGAGATCAGGATTGCTACCCCTGCTTTTTTTACTTCAGCTGAGCATAATATATTCTGCTCCAGCCTTTTACCTTTACCCTGTATGTGTCACTCTTTTTCAAATGTGTTTCCTGTAAGCAACATATTGTAGGATTATGGTTTTTAATCCATTCTGCAATCCATTTCCATTTTATGGGAGAGTTCATCCCATTCACATTCACAGTTATGATTACTATCTGTGTCTTTTTCTCCATCCTTTTTCCCCCATTTATGCTTTTCTTTCTCCTTTTTCCTTTCCCCCTTCACTAGTTTTTGCTTTTGACCACGCCTCCTTCAGTCCCTCCCCCTTTTATTATCCCTTTCCCTTTTCTTCCCTTTACTCTTACTGCTTTTCCCTCCCTTCTTTCCCCCTCCCTTTTCTTTCCCCTTTTCCCCTCCTACTGCCTATTGTGCAAGTTAGATTTCTTTACCTAACTGATTATGTTATGCCCTTCTTGAGCCAAATCTGATGAGAGTTAGGTTCAAACAATGCTCCCCCCCTTCTTTCCCTCTGCTGTAATAGGATTTTGTGTCTTTTCCTGTAATGTAATTTACCCTTGTCCTCCTCCTTTCTCAGTACATTTTCTAAGATCAGATTGATCCACTTATTTGGATCCATTTAACCCACTTGATTAGATTTTTTTTATCATTACATCAAAGTCAACTAATATCCACCCTCTTTATGTATTCCTTTAACATGGTGTAATAACAATACAGTTCTCAAGGGTTGCAAGTGTCATATTCCCTTGTAGGGTTTAAACACCCCCCCCTTATTAACAACATATTGTATCTTCTGTCCCATTTACCTTTTTAGTCCTTCTTGAGTCCTGTACTTGAAGATCAAATTTTTTGTTGAGCTCTGGTCTTTTTATCAGGAAAGTTTGGAAGTCTCCTATTTCATTGAATATCCATCTCCTCCCTTGAAAAATGATGCTCATTTTTGCTGGGTAATTGATCCTTGGCTGCATTCCAATCTCCTTTGCCTTATGGAATATCATGTTCCACCCTGTGGTCTTTTAATGTAGAAGCTGCAAGGTCCTGTGTAATCCTGACTGTGGTTCCATGATATTTAAATTGTTTCTTTCTGGCTGCTTGCACCTTCTCTTTCATCTGGTAATTTTGGAATTTTGCTATTATATTCCTTGGTCAATTTGGGATCTCTTTCAGGGTGATGGTGGATTCTTTCTATGGTTATTTTCCCTTCTGGTTCTAGGACTTCTGGGCAGTTTTCCTTTATGATTTCCTGAAAGATACTGTCCAGGCTCTTTTTTCATCATGATTTTCAGGTAGTCCAATAATTTTTAAATTGTCTCTCCTGAGTCGATTTTCCAGGTCGGTTGTTTTACTGATGAGGTATTTTACTTTTCATCTATTTTTTCATTTTTTTGTTTCTGTTTGACTGATTCTTGCTCTCTCATAGAGACATTAGTTTCCATTTGTCCAATTCTAGTTTTTAACAGATTGTTTCTTCTGTTAGTTTTTGTACTTCCTTCTTCAATTGGCCAATTGTGTTTTTTAGGGACTTGTTTTCTTCAGTGACTCTTCTGTTAGTTTTTGTCCTTCCTTCTTCAATGGCCAATTGTGTTTTTTAGGGACTTGTTTTCTTCAGTGTATTTTTTTTCCAATTGGCCAATTGTATTTTTGAAGGACTCTTCTACCTCTCTCATTTGACTATTAAAATCCTTCTTGAGCTCTTCTAAGAAGGCTTTTTGGGCTTCAGACCAGTTCATATTCCCTTTTGTTGTTGCAGATGTGGGTTTGTTGACAATGTTGTCCTCTTCAGAATTTCTGTCTTGATCTTCACTCTTCTCATAATATGAATCTATGGTACGTTTCTTTTACTCATGGTGTTTCTTTATTCCCTGGCCTTTAAAAAGATTGAGCTCTCCTGCTGGGGAACAGAGGGTACTGACCCAAGCTTCTTGTTTTGGGAGCCTAGGTCTTGGTCACTGGCTTTGCTTTCTGGGGCCTCTTATGCTGGGAATTGCAGGCTGTAGGTTTCTGGCAGCTTACCTTGTGTTGGGCTGGAATCAGCAAGGCTAGAACTTTCAGGCAATTCTAGGTTGCCTGCTTTTCCTTTCCTTTAGCTTTCTTCAGCTCCTTTTAGATGGGTGCTGCTGGGTGTTTATCTGCCTGGGGCCCCCTGCAGTGTTGTCTCCCTCGTTTCTGCTAATGCACTGGGAGATTCCTTTGTGTTACAGTGGCTAGGCACCTGGTGGTTTTCTGAGCTGGTTTCCACCGGTTCCCCACCCCCTTCACTGAGGCACTTGGAGGTCCAGGTGTTGGTGTTTGCCTATTCTACCACCTGGGCTTCAGGATTTCTTCACAATTCAAGGCTGCAGGGCTCTGACAGCTCATCTGGTGTTGGGCTGGAACCAGCAAGGCCAGGGCTTTAGGAAGCCTTTAGATTGTTTTCTTCACCTCCTTTTAGATGAATGCCGCAGGGTACTTATCCGCCTGGGGCCCTTCATAGTTCTGCCTCCCTTATTTTTGCCGAGGCACTGGGAAACTCCTTTTGCTGGGCTGCTGTACTGCTGCTCCCCGTCTTTCTTCTAGTTCAGCTGTTCCAGGGTTTTTTTCTGGGGTGATATATTCTGGATTTTCAGAGGTTGATAGGGGAGAGTTAGAGCGACTACCTTTTCACTCCTCCATCTTGGCTCCCCAAAGCAAAGTCCCTATTGATCTTTTTTTAAATTGATTCATTTTGCTAACCCAGCCCCACTGCTCAATTACAATTAAACACACACAACACACACACACACACACACACACACACACACACACACACACCTGCAAGATGTTTAAACATCATTGGCTCCATCAGTGTATTTCTCACCTGCTGAGGACACAATGATTCCAGCTCAAAGCCCCAACTACTGAAATATGACCAACCATATTTCTCAGCCTCTTTTTAGTCACCATATCCCATAACTGGGGATAGAAAAGAAATAAATACATTATAACCACATCAGTGTTCTGTTGGTGCTTCTACAAACCTAATTCAATCTGTGCAGGGCTGGTTATTAATGAATCAGTTAATTTTGAGGAAGCCAGTATTCTGTTGGCTGATGGTCAAGACAGCATTATTAGCCCTGGCCACACCCCCTCTCTGGCTATTATTAAAAACTTATAATTAAATAATATGTATACAAGTATATACTATATATAATATAGTATAAATTATATAAATAAATTATTATAAAGTATTGTAAATAAAAATCATAATTAAATAATATAATTGTATATAATATAATTATAAATAATTAAAATTGTTTGAGCTCTAGCTGCAGTTTGTCTAGAAGCAGATTGTAAAAGTCAATTGGTCTCCTCCATGTTCCCCATAAGAAGTCAAGTATTTGTTTCTTTTACAGCTAAGGGTCTGCTAGCCAGCAATGTTGCCAGTATTCTAATCTATGTGATGAACGAAACTTTAATGTTGTACAATTCTTCCTTGCATAAATATGGGGTATAAGAAGAAAGCTTGACCCACATCAAAGGAAGGAAAGAAGAAAAAGAAAGTGAGGGAAGATAAGGACAACAGGGATGCTTTAAACCCCCCAGGAAAGAATTTTAATGCCACTTCCCCTTAATCCACAGTAGGAGAAGGAGAATAGGAGAATAGGAGAAATCCTTCTCCTATTCAAGAGTTTACATTTCATATTAACCTACCAATTAAAAAGAGCTTTGAAAGATTAAATATTGTTGGTCTAACATGATCAAAAATGTATGTAAAAACAAAACATTCAGTACTTGTATTTCTCCCTCACTGGTGCCAATGGCCAGGGAGGCTCCCTCTTTTATCCAGGAAACTGAGGAGATGTAGTTGGACCAGGGACTCAAGTCTATGCTTCCCATCCTGTCGTGGCCTTCACCATTCCAGATGTGTACAGCAGACCCAAGGGCAAGAGCAAGAAGACCTTCAGAATTCCAGTCTAGGATGTTTAGATCTGGAAGGAAGGAAGGAAGGAAGGAAGGAAGGAAGGAAGGGAAGGGAGGGAGGGAGGGAGGGAGGGAGGGAGAGAGGGAGGAGGGAGGGATAGAAGGAGGAAGGAAGGAAGGAAGGAAGGAAGGAAGGAAGGAAGGAAGGAAGGAAGGAAGGGAGGGAGGAAGGAAGGGTGGGAGGGAAGGGAGGGAGGAAGGAAGGGTGGGAGGGAAGGGAGGGAGGAAGAGGGGGAAGGGAGGGAGGGAGGGAAGGAGGGAGGGAGGAAAAGAAAGAGCTATAATAAATCATTTTCTTTAGCAATAACAGAATCCTAGAGTAAACATCTCTTAGACTTACATAAGTGAGATAAAGTCATTATCTGACTTTTTCAATGCATTTAATCTTAATGCTGTGAGGCATGAGTGGGCAAGCATTATTATTCTCTTTTTATAAATGTGGATTTGCCAAGTGAGTGAGAGAGAAGAGAATGGAACCCAAATATACACACTAATGGCAGTCCAGGAAACAATTCCATTTTTTGGTTAGGTCAAGGGCATCTGATAAGAGGCTAAAGGAGCAGGACACTTTCCTTTACTACTTTATTAGCATATGAGCAACATCCCACCCCAACCCTGCAGTTACAAACATGCTGCTCTCATAATATATCATATAATGTATTTGGGAGGAGACATAACTTTGAATCCCATCTCCACCAGATGGAGACTGACTGTCAAGAGGAAAGAACTATTCCATTTTTTGTTTTGGGGTGTTTTGGATTCAACTGGGGTTAAGTGTCTTGCCTAGGACCACACACCTAGTAGGTATCTGAGGCTAGATTTGAAATAATCAGGTCCTTCTGACTCCAGGGCCCATGCTCTATCCATTGCATGACCTAGCTGCCACTATAAAATAAGAAGGTTTTTTGGCATTCCTTTCTAGCCTAGGTTATTAGAAATCTCTTCCTACTGAAATAAATCATATTTGATTACTTATTAAAATGCACCAATCTACATTCTTTTTTTAAATTTATTTTTAGTTTTCAACATCCACTTCCACAAGATTTTGAGTTTCAAATTTTCTCTCCATCTCATCCCCCCCCCCCAAGATGACGTGTATTCCAAATACCCCTTTCTCTAATCTGCCCTCCCTTCTATCTTCCCCTCTTCTGTTACTCCCTTCCCCTTCTATTTTCCTGTAGGGTAGGATAGATTTCTATACTCCATTGCCTGTATATCTTATTTCCCAGTTGCATGTAAAAACAATTTTTAACATTTGTTTTTAAAACTTTGGGTTCCAAATTCTCTCCTTTCCTCCCTCCCCACCCACCCTCATTCAGAAGCAAGCAATTTGATACAGGTTATACATGCATAGTCATGCAAAACACTTCCATAAGAGGCATGTTGTGGAAAAACTAACTATATTTCCCTTTATCCTATCCCACTCCCCATTTATTGTATTCTCTTTTAATCCTGTCCCTCTTGAGAAGTGTTTGCTTCTGATTACCCCCTCCCCCAATATGCCCTCCCTTCTATCATCCTCCCTCTCTTAACCCCCCCCTATTTTCCTATAGGGTAAGATAGATTGCCATACCCAATTAAGTGTGTATTTTATTCCTTCCTTAAGCCAAATCCAATGAGAATAAGATTCACTCATTCCCTCTCACCTTCCCCCACTTCTCCACTGTAAACGCTTTTTCTTGTCTATTTTATGAGATAATTTATCCCATTCTACCTCTCCCTTTCTTCTTCTCCCAGCATAATCCTCTCTCACCTCTTAATTTTATTTTTTAGATATCACCCCTTCATCTTCAACTCACCCTGTGCTCTCTATTTCTCTATCCATCTATCTAGCTAGCTAGCTATATAAATATATATTTTTCCCCTCCAACTACCCTAATACTGACAAAGGTCTCATGAGTTGCAAATATCCTCTTTCCATATAGGAATGTAAGCAATTCAACTTTAATAAGTCACTTATGATTTCTCTTTACTGTTTATCTTTTCACACTTCTCTTGAGTCTTGTATTTGAAAGTCAAATTTTCTATTCAGCTCTGGTCATTTCATCAAGAATGCTTGAAAGTCTTCTATTTCACTGAATATCCATTTTTTTTTCCCCTGAAGGATTATACTCAGTTTTGCTGGGTAGGTGATTTTGGTTATAATCCTAATTCCTTTGACCTCTGGAATATCATATTCCAAGCACTCTGGGCCTTTAATGTAGAAGCTGCTAAATCCTGCGCTATCCTGATTGTGTTTCCACAATACTTGAATTGTTTCTTTCTGGCTACTTGCAATATTTTCTCCTTTACCTGGGAACTCTGGAATTTGGCTATAATATTCCAAGGAGTTTTCCTTTGGGGATCTCTTTCAGGAGGTGATCAGTGAATTCTTTCAATTTCTGTTTTACCCTCTGCTTCTAGAATATCAGGGCAGTTTTCCTTGATAATTTCTTGAAAGAGGATATCTAGGCTCTTTTTTTTTATCATGGCTTTCAGGTAGTCCAATAATTTTTAAATTATCTCTCTTGAATCTATTTTCCAGGTCAATTTTTTTACAGTGAGATATTTTACATTGTCTTCTACTTTCTTATTCTTTTGGTTTTGTTTTATGATGTCTTGATTTATTATGCTTTAGCTTCCATTTGCTCCTTTCTAATTTTTAAGGAATTTTCTTCAGCGAGCTTTTGGACTTCCTTTTCCATTTGTCCAATCGTGCTTTTTAAGGCACTCTTCTCTTCATTGGCTTTTTGGACCTTTTTTGCCATTTAGGTTAGTCTATTTTTTAAGGTGTTATTTTCTTCAGTATTTTTTTGGGTCTCCTTTAGCAAGCTATTGACTTGTTTTTCATGATTTTCTTGCATCACTCTCATTTCTCTTCCCAGTTTTTCCTCTACTTCTCTTACTTGCTTCTCAAAATCCTTTTTTAGCTCTTCCATAGCCTGGTACCGATTCATATTTTTCTTGGAGGCTTTGAATGTAGGAGCTTTGACTTTGTTATCTTCTTCTGGTTGTCACCAAAGAAAGATTCTATGGTCTGATTTTTTTTTTGGGCTGTTTGCTTATGTTCCCAGCCAATTACTTGACTTTTAAACTCTTTGTTAAGGTGGGGTCTGCTTCAGGGGTTTTGTGCAGCTGTTTTCAGAGATACTTCTAGGGACCTGTAAATTTTTGGTTCTTCCAAGGTGATATGATCAAGGGTGAGGTGTTTACTCCTTTCCTGGCCTGTGCTCTGGTCTATGAGTGACCACAAGCACTCTTTTCTGCCTTGGAACTGTGGGGAGGATTCTCTCTACACTGCCACCATAAACTCCACCACATGAATGCTCCTTCGACAGCGACCCAGATCCAAGCCCAGGCAAAGCAAAAGAATCCTGCCTCAGCACCAGCAAAGAGATCCCTGAAATCTCCCTCTTATCAGCCACTCAATCCCCCCCACCATCTGTGGGCTGAGAGCTTAGGAAGCAGCTACCGCCCTGGGACTGTTCCAGGACTGGGACCAGACCAAGCTCCTCTCTCACCCAAGTCTGACAGACTTTTCCCACTGACCTTCTAAGTTGTCTTTGGTGTTTGTGGGTTGAGAAGTCTGGGAACTGCCACAGCTGCCTGTGATTCACTCCCCTGAGCCCTGCTCCAGGTGGGCTGGGACCTGGTCTTTGCCTGCACACCCATGCTGAACTGCATTCCTCTCCCAGCCTGACACAACAGTCCTTTTCCATCAACCATCCAGGCTGTCTTGGGCTGGAAATTTGTTTCACTTTGTCTTTTTGTGGGTTCTGCTGCTCTAGAATTTGTTTAGAGCCATTTTTTACAGGTATTTGGAGGGTTTACGAGAGAGATCAAGCAAGTCGCTGCTTTTACTCCACCATCTTGGCTCCACCCCCTGGATTCTTTATCTAAGGGATAAGCTGCCATCTTGCTTTCTATCTCATGATAATCACAAAAAATAGAGTCAGCTCTCAGTTACTCACACCTAGGGCAGCTAGGTGGTCCAATGGCTACAGTACTAGACCTGGAGTCAGGAATTCAAATCTGGTCTCAGATACTAGCTGTGAGACCCTAGGAACCACAGTTTTCTCAGTTATAAAAACAAAAGCCCCTAGTGCATAGGTGGTCATACAGATCAAATCAGATATTTGTAATGCCTTTAGTACAGTACTATGTGAAGGCTTATTCTCTCTTTCCCAGCTATGTTTGTCCACTGCATATTTTTCCCTCAATACTTCTGTTAATACTATCTCTGTTTGTTCTGTAGCTTAACTCAGGTATAAAAAGATCCTCTCTTTTCCAAACAAGCTATTTAACTTTCTCCCCCTAACCTTGTAGAAAGTTAGTGTGAACCAGACAGCAACCTCAGTCCTTGAGAGGCTGGGACCTGGGCAGTGAGTCTATACTGTCCACACTCAAAATCGGGTCAAGACATGGCAATCTAAAGAGAAAATTCGTTGGCACAGTGGATAGAGCACTGGACCAGCTTAGAAAATTACTCGCTCTGTGACTCTGAATAAGTCACTTAACCTCTGTCTACCTAAGATTCCTCATTCTATAATAATTGTTGTCAGATAAATACTGCATATATGTATGTGGTTTATTTTGTTTTTCATTTATTATCATAGGGATTTAAGATTTACAAAGTACCTTAACATGTTATTTCATTTTATCCTCACAACAACTCTGGGAGGTAGGTGCTATTATTATATAATATATAAGGAAACAGGCCATTTACTTGTCTATAGCTGTGACAACAAGAAATTTTCTAAAATGACAGCATCTGAAACATCCCTATAAAAGGTAAATGGCACTTTTCCTCATTAAAAGAAAAATCACAAGCACTAAAATCTATTGTTATAAATAGTAACAAACATGTGTTCATTCACAAATATTCAGTCTGTGTACTATCTCATTTCTATGACATGTTCAACACACATGTCCCGGCTCTACCTGAATGCATCCTACACCATTAGTTTTCTTATTAGATTGCTTGATCTTGACATGATTTAGAGTCTAGACAACACAGATTCATTTCCTGGGTCCCAACCTCCCAACCCCATGCTCACTACATCACTATATACTCTGAATCCCCAGTGGACCAGTTGTTAGCATGCTATTTGACCTTTCACTATTTTGCCAGCTCTGGCAGAATTATCTGTCTTCAAAGGGAATAGTCACAGAAAGACAGACACAAAGATAGAAACAGAGAGAGACAACTTGGCTAGAACACGATATTTTCTTTAAATATTTGCATATAAATATAACAATCATGTTAAACTCACCTGGGAGAGTGAAGCCCTATTTTGTGAATGCTTTTCACAAAGCATTCAATAAATATTGGTTGATTGATTTGAGAAACAGAGAAAGAGGGACAGAGACAGAGAAACAGACACACAGAAACAAATAGACAAAGAGAGACAGAGAGACAGAGAGACAGAGAGAGAGAGACACACACACACACACAGAGAAAGAGACAGTAGCAGAGAGAAAAAAGGACCAGTCCCATCTCCCAATATCAGCATTTAGAAACCAGAACAACTACTATATTAATCATTTTTTAAATTATGGCCATTTTGGAAATTGGCGTGCAAAAGAATAAATTACTTTTCCAGACTCAAAGGGTGAGTTAGCACCAGAGGCCAGGAGAGAAAGCAGGACTCCAAATTCTACAACCAATGACCCAATGTGTCTACATTCCAAATTTCACTGCTCACTTCTACCTTTCAATTTATCTGCTGGGAGAAGAAAGAGAAAAAACTCACAGTAGTCATCTCGTAGGCCAGTAAGATGAATCTTCACCTCTGGCTGGAGTGTCACGTCACTGAAACTTTGATGATGCACAGACTCCTCTCTATGAATTCCACCCCTGCAGCCTACAAGAAACAAATCAAAGATGAGCCCATCCTGCACTCCACGGTGGTCCTGGGAACCTGTTCAAATATTTCCTCGTGTGTATGAAGAGGTGCCAGAGATGTAGGGAAAGTGAAAATCATGCTGCATTCTAAAGTGGGAAAGGAGAGAAGAGGAAAGGGCAGGTAACAGTAGTAACTGCAATCAGAGGGTATTATTTTTACCAATAAAAAGACATTTTCTAATTTAAAGAATATACATATACATCAGTGCACATTATTAGATGGTGAGCTCCTCAAGGGCAAAAACTATCTTTGGCTTTCTTTATACCCCTCAATCTTAGCACAGAGCCCAGCACATAGTAGGCACTTAATAAATACTTAATCAACTCTGTCACTGACTGATATATGCAGATTATAACCCATTTATAATTTAGTAGAAAAGCCTTAGGAAGTTGCCTGGGGAGCAGAAAGGGAAATTGTCTCTGTGTTGTGCACAGAGATATCATCAGGGGTAATATTTGAACCCAGGTCTTTTTGGTTCTAGGTCCAATATTTTATTCACACTTTCTCAAAACAAACATATACATACATATAACCATAAGCAATATGACTTGGCTAGAACACACTTTGGCTGTTTACTATTTTATTTGAATCCACAAATCCACATTGACACTTGCATATTAATATAAGCAGTGTGCCAAAATTCACCTTTGTTAAATGAAGCCCTACTTGGGCGAGCACTTTTCACAGAGCATTCAATAAATATTGGTTGACCAATTGATCCGTTTCTATGCTTCGTTATCTCTGTATCAAGGCTTCCAGAGAGATACTGTTTCCAGTGTATTTTACCTATGAGAGTAGGTAAATAGAATACTAATTCTTTATACTTTCAAGACACAGTCATTAAAATGCTGACAGCGTCAAGTTCAAAGGCAAAACCCATAGGACTGTCTGAGGCTTCTACTTGTCTAGCCTTGTGCACACAATTAGCAATGCAACAAACACAGCAGTCCTGCAGCAGAGTGGCTAATGAGACAGCTAATATGATATCACAAGGGGGCCCTGCATGCTGGAGCAAGGAGCTGCCTTGTCATATGTAAGAAGCTATCTGTCGGCTGAGGAAATCTGCAGTCCCGTACAGAGCATGGTGGGACAGCCAGAAACAGCCCTGTTCTATACGTCAGTCATTACAAAGAAGACCAAAGGCAGTTAATGAGTAACATGCCCTCGACCATCTCCACTACATATCATGCAAATTCCTTTTCTTTTGTTAAACTGGGAGACTCAAACCTAGTCCAGGTTTCCAAAGTGTGGGACTGATTGATTAGAAAAAGCTCTTAGCTTTTTTTTTTTGTCTCATAGATCCCTTTGGAAGTCTAGTGAAGCCTAGGGACTCTTCAGAATAATCTTTCTAAATATTTGAAGGCTATGCTAACTTCCAACTAGAGGTTAGTAATTTTTTTTTCCCATCCAAGTTCATGGACCCCAAGAAATCTAGGAGTTTAACCGCCAGGTCAATAACTCCTATATTAAAACCATGGAAGGCAATTTCAGCAAGGTTTTTTCACTTATTTGGAAGCAAAGAAGCCATCTTTTTTTTTTCTCAAATGTTGGATTTTTGCTCAGTTGATTGCAGATTCTGAAGCCAAGGGACCAGGGTAGGGTTAATAGGCTCTTTATGAGGTAATCAAATGTTGTGGGCCACAGCTGCAGACTTAGACATCCTCAGGCCAGATGTGCTTCATGCCAAAAATCCCCTAGAATGTCAAAATGCAGACACAGGATAGAGCCCTCCTTGCCTCAACCTGCTACATAATCTTTGGCCCAAAATCAAGTATCTAGAATCTTATTAAAACACAAGCGTGTTACTGGTCACATCAAAAGATGAAGTAGAGGAGACATTTTCCCCTCTCCTTTTCACCTACACATTTCCCCAAAGCCCGTTGATGTTTGTGCTTGATTTTAAAGAGTCATCCTGAAAGCAAAGATCGCAAAGGTCTGTCCATAGCTTTCTCCATTTTCCTAACTTTAAATTCCTGCACACCTAAAAGAACATATAAAATGTCTGAAGCTTTTGCCTCCATTCTAACATATGGGGGCTATACTTGTCCCCATTTGGCACCTGGAAAAACTGAGGAATGGAGAATGAATGATTACATAAAAGTCTAAAGAAGGAGGCTGGGGAGTAGAATTATAATTTAGGATTTAGGTCTTCTGACTCCCAATCAATCCTGAACATATTTAATGGTGACCCTTCCAAAACAACCTAGACACTTATTCCAGAAGGAAACATATCTAGCAGCTTTCCTAGACATTGATGAAAGGAACAGCTAGTTCTCCCAGTGATGTTTCCACCCAGAGGCTAGGTTGCTCACCAAACATCTCCCACAGACATTACTTCCACCCATGAAACCTCTGGTGGAACCCAATGTAGCCTGAAGAGACAATTTGACATGGCTATAGCTTCCAGATTTCCTGATTGCGTCCTGAGGTACAGGGGTACCATTCAAGCAAGTTCTTTGGGCTCAACAGACAAACTAAAGGTGGGGTGGGGGTTTCCAAGGCTCAGGTGATTCAACAGAAAATATCAGTCACACCCTTCCTCCTCCAAGGAGGCAGCAACAATGCTTTCTGTGCATAACTTCTAGGTCAGACTAGGAGCTAAGGCTCAGCTACTCATTCAGTTGAGGGGTCATTACTAGAAGCCTCTGGGTCATGTGGAAAAAATGCAAAAGTCAGTCAAGTCAATCCAAAGGAAAGACTTTATGTCAAGAGCTTGCTTTTTCCTTTTCCTGTAGGTATAACTAGCCCCAGCCCTGAAGAAAGATTTGAAGATTTCTTTCTTTTGCAGCAAAGGAGAGGGACTGACCTCGTCTGAAATTTTTGCTTAAGGCTCAAAGTTATGCTGTAGTTATGCCTTCACCCCTTTGTCATACCTATGCCACATCAAGCATGCTTAGGGAGAGATGTGGCCCCTGCTCTATGCACATGCACTCACAAAAACACATTCTCTTGTACACTTAAGAAAGTGTCTTAGGTCTCAGAAATCCTAGAGGACAGTTATCTCTCTATGCTCTTGGCACCTCCACCTCACTAGAGAGCTACCTCCTGAGTAAGGATAATACTCAGTAAAGAGACAAAAGAAAAAGAAAAATGAAGGGAGAGAGGATGAGGATCATAGATCTAGAGCTGGAAGGGACCTCGCAGGTCATGCAGCCCAGCCTCTTTTTACAAATGAGGAAGATGAGGCCCGGGATATTAAAAGATTTGCCAGAGTTTCAGAGGTGTAATTTGAACCCAGGTCCTCTGACTCTGGAGCTCTTTCCATTTTACCTCAAAAGAAAAGAATTTCTACAACTTGACAGAAAGAAGATGGATTAAAGAAAAAACTTTTCTCTGAGCTTCTTTAGGCACTACCCACACTCCATTTTCTCACGTCTTTCCAACACAGACCTTTCCAAAAGCACTTGGGTCTCTCACAGATCTGCATTTTCCCCGTGACATTCCAGGGCTCCTTCGGGAGTGATGGCAGTGGGGTGATACATCTCTGAAAGTAAACAAAGGCAAAGGCTAGGCAAGCTTCAAACATAATGAATAATGTGAGGCTGTCATGGATAATTCTCTAAAAAGTTCAAATTCAGGAGGAACTGCCTTTGGACTAGAAGCTGACATAGCTCTCAAATAAGTTGAGAATCAATCAATAAGCACCTACTACGTGCCAGGTACTGGGCTATGCTCTAAGGATACAAAGAAAGGCAAATGAGTCTTTGACCTCAAGGAGCTTACAATCTAATGGTGAAGCAACATGAAAATAACTGTGTGCAAGCAAGATTTGGACAGGATAAATTAGAGATTATCAACAGAGGGAAGGCACTAGCATTAAAAGAGACTGGAAGAGGCTTCTTTTGGAAGGTAGGACTTTCATTGAGATTTCAAGGAAGCCAGGAGGTAGAGATGAGAGAGAACATTCTAGGCTTGGGGACAGCCAATGAAAATGCACAGTCAGAAGATAATGTGCCAAGGTAGCACATCAGTGGGACTGGAATAGAGATGGAGCAGAGTAAAGTAATGTCTGTAATGGGGGTAATCAGCTAACAGCTGTGAGACTACCACCATCAAAGGACCACGTGCCACCTGTAGGGCTCAGTGCCGAGGTGCCCAGGCTTTGGACTGACTAAAATCCTTTGGTTCCCATGAAAGAAGCAGTGGCTTGGCCACTGAGGCAGGGATAACTGTCCACTCAGTAGACTAAAAGGAGAGAACAATTTCAGCTCTCTCTCTCTTCTCCTTTACCTCCCTCTCTTCTCCTTCAACTCCTTCTTCTCCCCCTTTTCCTTCACCTCTTTTTCTTTTTATCCATCTCTCCCTCTTTTCTTTCATCTCTCCAGAATATATATCACAGAACCAGGAATGTGCTGGATCCTGTTCAAATCACCTCATTTGAGCAGATTGTTAAATTTTTAGAGTGAGTAATTTACACCTTGGACATCAGTAAATGCTACAAACGAGGGCTTGACTTATTGTTCTGTCAAATGCCTCAACTTAAGAAATTGATGGAGAAAATGTTAATAGTGCAGATTGAATTGAAAAGTGAGTCCTGCATACTTTTGGGGATATGGGAGATGGGGAGGGAAGCTTGTTAAACATTTACCAGGACACCACTGCATAGAACTAGCTCCTAGTTCTATTACATATGAAATAAGTGGAAGCCAAATGGTAGAGGATTTTAGGAATCAGGCTGAGAAATCTATTTCTGACATTTAAAAAAAATAACACAAATTATTATTTTTCTTGTGGCAATAAGAATACTTTCCCTAAGGACTCTTTTAGTTTTGCTTCAAAATCCTGGGAGATAAGTAAAATTACCTCTAATTTAGCCTAATTCCATATGCACTAGACTAGACTTCTAAAATTCTTCCTATTTCATTTTTTTGTTTGTTTGTTTGTTTGTTTTTGACCACTGAACCAGTAAACTCTTTAATGCTAACAGAAATAAGTAATAAAACAACAGAAAACAATTTTTTAGTTATTTATGTCAGAGAAGACCTGGGTTAGAAAGTTGCCTGTCAGATGTACATCCTGCTGAATGTCTACGTGATTTACTGGGCTATGTCACAGAAATTAATTAAAAAAAAAAAGAACATGAAACATTGAGGGTTGCCATTTTCTTCACATTAAGATCAGCCAGAGAACATACCTAGTTTTGATGCTTCAATGCAATGTATTAACAGCTCACTGTAAGAGGTCCCCAAGGTGTCAAATCTGGTGGTAAGATACATCCTGACAAGAACCGAATGACACAAGATCCTATCTACAGCGTGTCTTATTTTCATTATTTAATACCTCACATTTCTAAAGTGCTTTAAAATCAGCAATCAATCACAATTCTCAGAAATTGGAGCCAATCCTTTGTAGTATGTACATGGAAGCACCTAGGAAGACCTCCATTTATTTCCCAGGGTCAAACAGCAGTGTCTACTTCCTCTCTCCTCTCCTGGCCTTATCCACTGAACCTCAATAGCAACAATGCTTACCTACCTGACTTTTCAGAGCAACATTTTTCTGCCAGTTTCTCCATTGGATGTTAGATGACTCCCGACACCTTAAAGCATCATCATTTCTTCCTAACTTTGCTACCGCACAGGTCTTCCAAAACTGATCACTGGGGGATCCTGAAAACAAGATTTGATTTTTATTTGTAAGCCAGAAAAGAAGTCTCACCCCTTCCACTGAAGATCTCAAGAAGGGAATTGTCCTCATTCAGGGGGCCAACTCCAAATGGGAGGCTGCCCTGAAGGCATCTCTACACAACAAGGAACACAACCTGGTTAGGAAAACCTGGTAAGTCCTAGTCTAGCATGTGCAAGGTCACAGAGTTACTATACTCTAAAGAGCCAGGAGGGTTAATTTCTTAAAACAACACTTTTGTTGGTTACTGCAGCCACAGGATTCTGCAATTTGTGTCAAAGGACCTGGCCTGAACACAGGAATGGCAGTAACAATTCAACATCTAATGTTTGGGAAAAGGACACTGTCAACCCATACTTTTGACTACAATAATAATAAATAAAATAATAAAATTTATAAACTGCTTTGAAGTTTACAAATTTACACACACACACACACACACACACACACACACATTATCTCTTCTGAGCCAAATGAGTTTGGGAAGTAGATACCATCAGCCTCATTTTACAGATGAGGAAATTAAGGTTCGAGAAGGATAAGTAACTTGCCAATGGTTACATAGCAATAAGAACCAGGGTCAAGATTTGAACCCAGGTCTTCTAGTTTCCAAGTCTAAGAATTCACCCACTCTGTCACAATGTATCTCAACAAATCAACTAGTATCTGGCAGAATGCTATTGCTTTCTCAGGAAACCATCAATTAACCTTGGCTTTGTCATTAACAGTAATGACAATATGACCACAAGCAAGCCATTTATTCTCTCTGCCTCAGTTTCCCAAAGTGTCATTCTCCTCCTTATTTTAAGGGAATGTTCTGAGCATAACTCATAGGTCAATAGGAAAGATGCACGGTGCATGTAAGAAGGTTCCAGTACGTTATTCACAATGACTTACATAGGAAAAGGGTATTTAATTAGCTAATTAATTAAAGAGCATTCACTATATGCAAAGAACTATGCTAAGTGCTGGGGTTTTATATAGAAAAGCAAGGCAATCCTTGCTCCCTTCGCTTACATTAACAGGGGGAGACAACACATAGGAGGGTTCAGCGGCAAGTTAAATGGAAAGGCCAAGTAGTCCTTATGGGACTGTGGCAAAGCAGGTATCAAAAAGCTGTGTGGTTCAGAAGAAAGGGCATTAATTCTAGAATCAGACACCCTGGGTTCCAGTCCTACCTCTGATGCTACTACCCCATGACCTACTTCACTTAACCTGGTGGGTCTTTGGTTTCCTCTTTGGTAAAAGAAACATGTTGGACGAGATGGCCATTGAGGTCCCTTCCGGCTCTAGAGCTATGATCCTATGTCATCCAAGACAGACATTGTCAGAAAAGTAGGTGGAGTAGCCACAGGAGGAGAAAAAGGAAGCCTCCTGTAGCCAAAGTAGCCAAACTTCACAGAACTAATACCCTTAGTAAAAGGATTTGTTCTGTAAAACTTGGACTCAGAGAAAAGGCTACACCCAAGGACCTAGAAGGCTGTGCCCTCAAGGCCACAGGTTCCCCACCCCTGCATCTAGTTTATTGACTGCCTTTCCTAGGGAGGATTTATGGAAAGATACAAATAAGAATGGCTCAGAATGGGGTAACTAGGTGGCGCAGTAGATAGAGCACCAGCCCTGGAGTCCTGAATTCAAATCTGGCTTCAGACACTTGACACTAGCTATCTGATCCTGGGCAAGTCACTTAACCCCAATCCTAGCCAAAAAATGTGTGGATTGTAAGCTGCACTGATGGAGATAATAGCCATACTGATGAGGTCCCAGATACCTCAAACCTAAGTTAGAGTAATGTATAAATCAAGTATCTTAAAATTGTTATTGTTCATTTCCATTTTTCTTTCAAAATTGATAAAACACTATGCCTCTTTCCTCTCCCAAATATTTCATTGCACCTAAAGAATTATACATCTCTAAATCCATAATTCTTGCTCCCTGACTTGCTATTAGTTTAATAAAAATGCTCCTTAAAGCTCTATAAACACAAGAAGTATGAATAAGTTTATCACTGGTCCTTAACCTCTATTATCATACAGAATTTGTTTATATTATCACTGGGCCTCTGGTGTCTCTGGGGCCACTTGATACTTTTTCCAAGTTCACAGTAGTTGTTTGGAGGGAATCAGTTATGAAAATCATAACCCAAGTTCCCATTTGGTGTAATGTCCTCTACTACCAGACAATCTGGTAGTCAACAATCCAATAGCAAAAGTATTTAATAAAGACATAAAAGCAATGTAGGTCCCCACCAGTGTCCAGGGGCTGGCTGACACTACTATGATTTTGCAGACATAAGTACTTGCAGAAAATGGTGTTTCCAATTTTGGCAGCCAGAAAGTTTGCCAACTAAGACTTTCTGTTGCTAGCTGAGGAAGGGTCAGAGAAAGGCTCACTCCCCTCTCATCACTATCATCACAGCTTCTATTTCTATAGGGGTTGGAAGTTGTAAAGAATTTCTTATGTCTTATGACATGTACAGCAGTCTCATGAGAATTTATACAACAAGAAAGTGCTATAGGTACAGCATATATGGATTTCATCAAGACATCTGACAAGAGTCTTATATGATATCATTGTAAACAAGATGAAGAGACATGAGACAGATGATAACATAGGATGGCTTCAGGAACTGGCTAAACAGCTGTACCCCTCCTCAAATAGTAACTAATAGAATGGTTTCAGCCTTCAGGAACTCTAGTTACTACCCAACATTTTTATCAATTGCATGATAGATAGATGACATACAGTACTTGTAAAACTGAAGGTCCCACAAAACTGAGAAGGATAGCTAATAGGCTAAGTGTGGCAGGTTTGGGATCCCAGAAGGTCTTGACAGGCTATAACAATGAGCAGAATCTAGGAAAAGAGAATAATTTTCTGACATAGATAAGGACTGGAAGTGCAATTTCATTGGTATAGGGATACCAATATATTGATATAGGCTCTGGGAAGGAGACTCCTCTACCAGTGTATGTGGGCACTGTCCCTACAACATGCACTTGTATGGAATTGCCAAGAGCAATGAGAGGTTAAATGACTTGCCCTGAGTCACACAGCCAGTATGTGTCAGAGATAAGACTTGAATCCAGCTCTTCAAGGTTTTGAGGTCACCCCATCTACTGTACCACACTGCCTTGTGATGTGAATCTAATAGGATAAAATGTAATGTGAATAAGTGCAAAGTCCTTCTCTCAGATTCAAAAATCCAAGTCTTCCTTTACAGTCTGGGAAAAACATGACTAAGCCTGCGGTTTTTAGTGCACTGTAAGCGATGACACAGCAGTTCAAGAAGCAAGTATGATCTATTGCACAATAGAAGTGTAGTGCCTGAATTCAACTATAATATGCCAGGCCACATCTGGAAGACTGCAACTGGGTCTGTGCAACATGTTTTAGGGAGAGAGAGAAACCTAAACAAAGCATGCTAGGAAAACTTGGAAAGGAAGAATGCCTTCAACTAGGAGAACCAGGGGCGGCTTCAGGGAGAAGGTAACACCTGAGCTGAGCCTTGGGGAAAGATAAAGATTTCTGAAAGGCAAAGTAAGAAGATGGACTCAACTTAATTGTTTTATCAGGTGAGAAAACATCTATTGAATTAATCAGTCAACGACAGGTTATTTGTCAAAAGTTCTTAATCAATTTGGGGCAGCTAGGTGGTACAATGGATGAAGTGCCTGGCCTGGAGTCAGGAAGACTCATTTTCCTGATGAGTTCAAATTCAGCCTCAGAGACTTGCTAGCTGTTTGACCCTGGGTAAGTCACGACTCTCTTTGCCTCAGTTTCTTTATCTGTAAAATGAGCTGGAGAAGAAAATGCCTCCCATTTCTTTGCCAGGAAAACCCCAAACTGAGTTGGGGTCACAAAGAGCTGGACACAACTGAACAACAACATAAAAGTAGATTTTGGTTTGCTCTAACGAAAGACTTCCTAACAGAACTATTCAAAAGTGGAAGGAGTTGCTTCAGTAAGTAGTGAGTTCACAGATTTTGAGAGCTGGAAAGGACCTCAGTGACCATCTAGCCCAATCCATACACAAAAAGAATCCCTGCTTTTAACATACCAGACAATTGACTGAAGAGCTCCAAGAAGGAAGAGCCTACCACCCCTTGAGGCAGTTCATTATACTATTGGATAGCTCAAATTGTTGAGAAGTTTTTCCTGACATCAAGCCTAAATATTCCTCATTGCAGCTTCTCCCCACTGTTCCCGCTTGATTCGGGGAGGAGGGACTCAGGGTGCAGGAATGAGTCTGATCCCTGCTCCCCATGATAACCCTTCAAAGTTTCTAAGATAGTTGTCTAGTCCTCATACCTCCCCACTCCTATTCCATTCTCCTTTACCCTATGCTAAACAGATCCAGTTCCTTTAGCCCATCTTCATTTGTCATAGAATCAAGGCCCTTCCCATTTTGGTTGTCCTCCTCTGGACACTTTCTAATTTATCAATATCTTTTTTAAATCATGGTACCCAGAACTGAATACAGTACTTAAGATGAGGCTTGATGAGGGCAGAATACTGTGGTATTATCCCCTCCCTATTCCTGGAAGCTATAATACAGTGGCTGGGAACATAACAAAACTGTTAATAAATCCTTTATGCATCTGTGCCCCTCTTAATGTAGCCTGCTGGGAACTTGAGTCCTCAGATACTGTAATGGAGGATATGGGCATGCTAATTAACATGTAAGCAGGAAGCTAAAAGGAAATACCCTCCTTAAGGGTCAAAAAGGTGTTGCCAGTACTGATTTTACTCCCATTTCTTTGTAAAAATGTTAACTCCTACCTCCCCCTCCATTAACTTTTCAAAATTTATAATCAATCTTGTTTTCTCAAAATTGCCAAATAATTTTAGAGATTTACACCAATGTGCATGAAGGAGCTAGGATAATATATGTAACTGCTATGGTCTTGTATTGGGGGGAGAGGGGGTAAATGTCCAGACAACAAATAAATGCTTGTTGCTTATAATTCTTAAAGCTTGCCCAGAGTCACGTGACTTCTGTCAGAGGAAGAACCTGAATCCAGCTCTTATCAGCTCCAGCTCTCTATCCATTATAATACTCTGCCTCTAAAAGGAGGCCATGTGGCTTCATGGATACATACTTATTAAGAGAATTGTTTATCTGAAAAAAAAAATTTTAAAGGAAAGAAAAGCAATATAAATAATGCCAGGGTGTCAAGTAATAAGATCATTGCCAGCTACATGCACTAAAAATAGACACAACTCCTATGTCTCTCAAGGAGATAAATGGAGTAAAACCCTCTGAGAGAAAAGTTACAAGGGGGTAGGATTTGGGGTGAGGGAACCATCAATCATTTCCCCCGATTCCTGTCAGCATGTTCTTAGCACAGAAATCTGCCAACCTCCCAGGGCAGGCTGTAATTGGCTAAAACCTCTCAGGTTGTACCTGGGATCATCAATATTCTGCTTGATACAGAAGTACGTTGTTCCACAAGCACCTCACTTTCTATCTCTCTGCTCTCTGCACTATAAATTGCAAGGAAGATGCCAGCCTACATTGGGAGAGGGAGTTTCTTTATCTGAGAGTTCTCTATATCAAAGAAATCACAAGTACAGTTAGAAAGACCTGAATTCAAACAATTCCTCTAATACATGCCAGTATTCTCATACTGGATAAGCCACTTAGTTTCCCCCAGGAAACAATCCAAGACTTTTAATTGCCCACACCTTGTATCTTTCCCAGTGCATTCCCAGGACCTCATAAACACTCAAAAACTGTTCTTTCCATGCTCACTACCCATTTTTATCTCCATCTCTTTCCCCCAAAATAATAATGAAATGATGCTTTCTCTTTTCTTCCTTTTCTAAATCCACAGTATCTGACAAAGCTCCCAAGATAGGCTCAAAACCCCACAGGAGTCTGATGTCCTGGAGCTTTCTCCACTGAATATGAGCTACTTTGTTGCAGGGGGAGCTGTCCCTATTACATAAACAAACAACTACTTAGGGACATAATAAATCTTTCAAAAGCATCCTGAAGATTATCTCTTTGATCACTCCTGCTGTCCTACCCATAGCTACGCAGACTGTCCCTTTCACCATTTAACTAGTCAGAGTTATCTTTATTCTTAATATAATGGGAAAGTGCATTCATTCCCCTGTGGAAAGTCTTCTCTATGTTCCCTGTGTGCTCCACAATAGTGGGTGCTTTGACTCATTGTATTACATTAGTTAATTAATTTAAAACTTTGGACCTAAATTCAGGTTAGTAAAATCTAAAAGGAGGCCAATGAGGGTTCTGGGAAACAAATAACAATTTTTAAAAAACCAAGTTTCCCAAACCACTATATAGGAACAGACTTAGGGAAAGGAGGAAGTTTTTCTCATTGGAAAAGAGTAGCCTGAATAGACTAACTCCATGAATGGACCTTCTTCCCACCACAACAGCAATGATATTGACAGCAGTGATAATATCTCCTTCTATTAGCATTAATACACCAAAGGTATGCCAATGAAGTCATCAGCTCTCAAGAATTCTATGATTGTCACAGTCTTAGATTCCTGCCTAAGTGAGAGGGTAAGAGTAACGAGGTACCAAGCAATCTATTGGGCACCATCCATGAAGCCTAGAGGTTAAGGGATTTTTTCCTGGAAATCATTATTACATGGAATTTTATTAGCTTAAAATTTCAGTGGATTTTTAAGCTAAGAGCCACAACAAGCTCAAGGCAACCTGAACTTTGACCCAGGGTGCTTACTTCCATTGGGGGCATACTTCCTGAAAACAGTTGTCCTCCCCACCTGCAGCCCCATCCCTCTCTCCCCTGCCCTGGACTAACATACCAAAGAATCCCATTCTGGTCATACCCCTCTCCTGGTGCCCATCTTCCTTTCCTGCCATGCCACCATTACTATAATTGATCAGAACAAATTGTCCATATCATATTGCCAGGCCCCTGTCATGTAGGATGCCAGGGACCAGCATCAAGATCAGAAAGGTTAGCAGTGTGTTCCATTTTTCCACCAGCAGAGCTGGGTTTCTGTCTGTCCATTCCACTCAACTCAGACGCCCGAATTCCTAGTTATGTCTGTTTAGACCTAAAGGTCACTGAGTCTTGTTAGCAATGGCTGGAGCCTATGTACTGGGTGAACATTGAAACTCCTGCTTTAGGAGAAGGGAAAAAGAAAAACAATTATCAAAATGAATTAAAGTCCAAGATTCAAATTTATTTAGACACCTGGACAGAAAAAAAATTAAAAGGGGTTTACAAAGTCTTCAAAGCATTATTCTAGAGGAAGTTCATGCTTTTAAGATCCAATCAGTTGATACTAGAATTCATGCCTGACAAAATTGGGGACAGCCCCTTAAGGAAGTGCCTATTTCCAAGCCCTGCCTAATGTAAGGTCATAAGCATCTTCTTCCTTCCCCTTTTCATCCATCTCTTGGCTCTGCTTTCTTTCTTTCCTCTGCTTTTACAATCTCTATTTTTTCTTTTCTTTCTATTTCTTTCTCCCTCCTCTTTTTCTCTAACCTCATTTTTTACTTTTCTTTCCTCTTCTTTCTCTGAATCATCTCTCTCTCTCTCTCTCTCTCTCTCTCTCTCTCTCTCTCTCTCTCTCTCTCTCTTCTCTCTCTCTCTCTCTCTCTTTCTCTTCCCTTTATTATCTTCTCTAGATTGCAGGGTACCCCTCAAAAAATTTGCTCCTTCCCACTCTCCTGCCTGGTTCCAATCTTTTGCGGAGGGATAATGGGGCAAGGGTCCCTGGCTAAGTACTCCAGGCTCTTGGACCGTCCTCTCTCATGTGTGGGGCCCATGATGGGAACTTTGCTTAGGACAGGGACAACTTGAATTCTAATTCAGCCATGGTGTATAAAACTTTCCAGTTACTTTCTTCCCTCACCCCATCCCAAGAAATTATAGATAAACTAGAAATTAGACACCTGATTATCCCAATATTAATGATTTTCCTTGGCCACCAAGGACCAGCAAATGAACCTCTTACCAGAATAATGAAAACAATTTTTAAAACAAATTGAAAGCATCTCTTTAAAAAGTCATGGTGATTTGTAAGAAATCATATATCAAATTAAGCCTAAAAGAGGTTTTCAAGTCAAATTATATTCTACTTACACACTAAGCTGATGTTTCTATTCTTTGGAAATTTCTAATTCTTTGGAAAGGAAAGAGAAATCCAGATGGGTAAATACAAAATAAACAACTCATATTTCTATAGCTTGGATGGAGCAGAAATAGCATTAAATGGGAAGGAAGGGAGGCACTTGGGAACTTAAAATGTAACAAATAAATTAAATTTAATTTTAAAAAAAGAAGTATCATTAAATTCAGAGTCACAAGACATGGCTTAATAGAATCACAGATCTAGAACTAAAAGGGAGTTTATAGGACCTCTAGTTAATATCCTCCACTTTCCACTTTACAGATGAGGAACTTTGGACCCACCAAAATAAGAAACTTGTCCAAAGTCACACAAGGTCATAAGTAACAGAATGCCCCTTTTTTTAAACCATTCAGAAATAGCCCATAGTATTATATTCTTACCAAGAATCATGGTCATTTCCTCCTGTGTTCTCTCCAACTCTGATCCAGAAGCATCAGTCTGGTCGTCTAGAGAATGGTCCTCCCGGAAAGGGTAAGCTGCACAATTTCCAGTGGAGACCTGCTGCCCTCTCGTGGCTATTGGGCTACTAGCAACAGGCACCTCAGCTGTCTGTCTCTTCACGATATTGCTTTTAAAGTTAGAATATGTAGTATCAACTGCATTCGATGCCTGTTTATTGAACAACATAACAACAAAGAGCTGTGACCTATGGTTGCCAAAATAAGTAAAAAATAAAATGTTTCTAAAAGAAGGCTCAGTTTGTCTGACACAACATGGATTAATTGGTCCTAAATCACCACAGTTCACTTTATTATTTCTAGGGACCTAAGTTCAAATTGTACGAATCTCAGTAAAATTTTTCCCCCTTTAGCAAACATTTTCCCAAACACTTTTACCATACATCCTTAAGGGATTCCTCCTTTACCTCCTTGCAAGGGACACAAAGTATTCAAGGAGAAGCTTTTGGTGGTAACTCAATCCAACGTGTGTTATTATATTACATTTATTGAGAATTCTCTGTTGCGCTGAAAACATAGGTTCTTTATACAACAGTAATAATACAAGATATGTACCAGCTCTTTTTTTAAAACTACAGTGTGCCAACTTACTGCATTATCATGAGGTTCTGGAAATAATGATTTGAGTCCCATAAGTTATACTGAAATTATGGCAAAGAATAGAAAATAAAGTAGCTTCCATGTTTTAAGGAGGGGGGCACAGGTGTTTCAGCAGGAGGCCCACAGGTGTTACACATGGCTCATGTTTTGGGACTTTTTGAATATTAATCGGCTGTGCTAACTTTTTTTCCTTTCTAAAGAAATACTATTTGTCATATAGGATAGAGGGAGGGGGGAAGGATATGTGGGATAACTACAATAATGTAAGAAACAGGAAATATCAATAAGGAGCTCAGTGGAGGGAGTGCCAGGCCTAGAGTCAGGAAGACTCATCTTCCTGAGTTCAAATCTGACCTCAGTTACTTACTAGCTGTGTGACCATGGACAAGTCATTTAACCCTGTTTGCCTTAGTTTCTTACCTACAAAATGAGCTGGAGAAAGAAATGGCAAACGACTCCAGTATCTCTGCCAAGAAAACCCTAAGTGGGGTCATGAAGAGTCTGAAAAGACTGAACGGTAACACAACAAAAGAAGAAGAAAGAGGAGTCTATAGGACTGGGGTAGTTGTGTTGTTTTCGTGTGTTTTTTTTTAATGTTGTCAATGAATCTCACGGTAAATGCCATACACCCATTGAAACAAAATCCAGGTTCCATATCCTAATGCTGCTGTTACTGCCTCCATCTGTTGCCCTAAAGGTGATTGATGGAGCTAAAAGATAATAAATAAAGACTCAAGGACTTTGAGGAGAGTCAAGGAAATTGACTCCTCTTTTGTCTCCATCTTGCCCACCAAGGAGAATGATCTTCAAAGTGGAAAGGATTTTTAAAAATCAGGAAATAAATGAAGCCCAAAATAATATAGGAAATAATTTTAAACAACTAACCCCTTAAAATGAATTTAAGTGCTGAGCCTGTCCCAAAATATTTGGCAAGAGTTCTAGTGAGATAACTGAGTACTTGTGTCTAAGTATAAATCTCCTTCATTACCTCAAAACAGCAAAATAATAACAACAACAATACCAAACAAAGTTAAAAAGCACCCAAAAATGAAGGGAAAAAGAAAACCTCACAAACAAAAATCCACAGGACCAAAAAAATCAGAGACTGAAGAAATATGTAATTAAACAAACAAACAAAAAATCCTGATGATATTGAAAGAAATATTAAGGAACAAAAGATTGTGAGAAGAAATCTCAGAAGGGAATAACACTGTCCTAATCACAACCAGCCCCATAAGTTAGATTCAAAATGCAAGAACTGGAGTGGTTGAGAAGTTTAATAAAAGAATTAAAGGAAAAGATAAGGAGCAAAATCTTAAACAAAAATTCAAAAAGACCAACAAGGTAATCAATAGATCAGAACAGAGAGTGGAAAACCAGTGGATCCTGACAATGAGAATGGCAGGCAGAAGGCAAAAATGCAGAGATGCAACAAGAAATATTAAAGCAACTTCATTAGACAGCAAAATTTGAAGAATACTTTTAACCAAAGAAACTGATCTTGAAGATAGAAATTAATAAGAAAAAATGATAAAACAAAGAACCTGAATGTCATAGTTTAGGAATCATATAAAAAATGTCCTGATAGTATAGAATTAGAGGACAAAATGGAAATCAACAGAATCCATAGGATGCTGGAAGAGAGGAGTCAAATTATCTCACCCAGGGATATAATCACAAAGGTTTAGAGTAAAGGAAAGGGCTTTGAAAGTTTCCAGGAGGAAAATGCTCACTTATCAGGGACACTAGTTCAAATAATTAAGACTATTCTTTGATAAAGGGCAGCTAGGTAGTGCAGTGGACAGAGTGCCCAGCCTATAATTAGGAGGACTCATCTTCCTGAGTTCAAGTCTGGCTTCAGACACTTACTGGCTGTGTGACCTTGGGCAAGTCACTTAACACTGTTTGCCTCAGTTTCTCAATTTATAAATTTAGATATATAAATGAGCTGGAGAAGAAAATGACAAACCACTCCAGTATCTTTGCCAATAAAATCCCAAATAGAGTCACAAAGATTCAGACAAGACTGAAAAATGACTAAACACCAACACTCTTTGATGAAAAGAAATAAGAGATTAGAATATTATTATATTCCAAAAAGGAAAAGAAAATAGCTTGCACCCTAGAATAACTTGTCTTTTGGACCTGAGCATATGTGAAAGAAAATAGACCTTTGGCAGGATGGCTTACTTTCACCTTCCCCTTGAGAAAGCCAGAGTTAAGCAGAGTTTTGGACCATAGACAAAGGAAGCTTAAAGATAAACACATACACATAGAATGAAAAGGCCAGGTGGCCTAAGTCTCATTGTTTACATGGTACAAAAAGGAGATAATCTATTGAAAGTATTTAGAAGTCCTACTTCATCTAAGGATACTTGGGGGAACAAAGAGAGAATAGGGTCTGATGATCAGACAGAAGTACCCCAGAGAAAGGAAAGAGGGGAAGAGGGACATGAAGTGATTAACATTTCTTGAAATCAAGGTGTCATCCAAGCAATGAGAGGAAGGGTTAGGGAAAAGGAGTATCAAGAACCACATTCTTACCTGGACTAAGCAAGAAAAATGTAAAAGATAAAGATTTGTTTTTTAAAAGGCATCAGGCTGGGCATGGTAGCCCCCACCTATAATCCCTGCTCCTGGGGAAGCTGCAGTAGGGCTGAAGTTGACTGAGTGTCCCGGATAAGTTTGGCACCATTGCGGTGAGACCCTAGGAATGGAAAACCATCAGGCTCTGACTTAGGAGGCACAGATGGGCTCAGGTCAGATATATAGCAAGTCAAAGCTTCCATGCCATACGGCAGGTGGATAGGGCCTGTGAGTGTTCCTGCATGTCTAGCCTGGGAAAGATCCTAGGGAAGCCCAGTCCTCAAGGAAAAAAACGAACAAGATTTCAGTAAAAGCAGAGTTAAGGGATCTGAAACTGTGTGGGGCAAAAGAGATGTGTGTCTATGTCTAAGAGTGAAGATTAAGATGCAATGGCTTCAACTGACACAAGTAACAGGTGATGAGGGATGAATAGGAGGTTTGGGAACTACAGTTCCCTATGAGTAACTATGAATAAATAGCACAAGCCAAATAAAAAAGTTAACTTGGTCTTACACTACGTTAATGTGAGAGAGGTTCTAGAACCACTGTACAGTGTACATTGCTGGGGTCCGATCATGGTGCATCATTTGAACAAAGACATTGGCAAGCGTGTCTAGAGGAGATCAAGCAGAACATGAGGAATTCTGAGACCATGTGATGAGGGTCAAATGAAGAAACTGGAGATGTTTAGCCTGAAAAGGAGAAAGGTTGGGGAGAAGTGGTCCCGACAGCTGGTTTTCAAATATGTCATTATCCTTAATGTAGAAGACTGAATGGTTCTGTTTAGTGGCCCCTAAGGACAGAGCCAGGATCATTGGATCAAAGTTGCAGAATCCCAGCTTGATATAAGGGGAAACATCCTATCAAAAAGTTCAGTGGGCCGCTTCAGGATAGTCTGGATTTCTCTTCACTGGAGGAGTTGAAGCTCAATGAACACTTGTTGGGGATATTATAGAAAGGATTCCTGCTTAGGTTCAGGTTGGATTAGATGGCCCTTAGAGCTAGAAGAGCCCTTGAAGTCCAAAGCCCAAAGAGGAAAGGGACTTGCCCAAGGCTACAGAAGTAATAAACAGTGGAGTCCAATCCTGTGGCTCTGTGACGGGCTATCTCGCAAAGCAGTGCATTCTCTGTCACTGGAGGTGTTTAAGAAGTGGCTACATTAGTCACAACATAATTTTGCAACCTGTAATGTTCAGTCTTGGTTGCATTTGACATCTGTCTTATTTAACTTTATAAAGAGAGCCTAGGTGAGGGTCAAAATTATTTGGATGAACAGCTCAAATTTATTCAAAAAGACTGCTCAGCTTCTTACTTCACTTGTACATTGTGAGAGGGCCCCGAGGGACATGCCTTCCCACTAGATTATACCATTTTATTCTGCAGTGTTTTTACCCTTTGGATCCAGGATCTCCCTTGAAGGAAATGCCTGTCGCATAGTTTGGAATGACTCAAGTATTTATTAATAGAGAGGAAGAGGAAGATGAGAAAAACAAGACAAAGAAGGGAAAAAGGATGGATGGCTTGATACCCTAAGCAAATCTGCTTGGCTTGTTTACCTTTAAAGTTCACATTACATTGACACTAAATCGGGAGGAATTTGGAGCACACTGGCCAAAAAATAAATAGAAAGGAACCTAGAGAGAGGGTAAAAATAAGGTCAGGAAATAACAAAATGAAACAACTGGGAAAATAGAAACAAATATATCTGGTGATAAATAATCTGGCACACGTATTCAGTGGGTGGGGGAAAAACCTGGAAATGCCAGGAAAGGCAAAGGAGTGATGCTAAAGTCTTTCTAGAACCACTAGAGTATACTGTGGAGATAAAATTAACAGAGATGATCCAATACACTTTCAACCATCGCCTCCCAGTTGGCCCACCATTCAAAAATTGTGAATAGAACCAGAAGGGAATGTTTATGATTCATTATAATGGAATTCATCAGTACATTGTTCACAAAAATA